ATAATCATTATTGTTATTTTGTCTTATTCTCTTCCACCATCTCTCGTACCCTTGTTACCTCTCCAGCCCACAGCTTGATCGAAAAATCGTTAGATCAATAGTTGAGCTTTGCAATGGTATGCGAGACTATTGTACCCAACATTCGCATTAGCCATGACCAAAGGGTTAGGTTATGAACGCTCTGAATAGAGCCCGTACACATAACCAAGAATGCTTTGCAATAGTTGACTCCTATGAATTTCTTGTCCTGTTAGGTTTGGATTTGATAAGGAAATTCTATGCAGATCCAGAGTGAAATAAAGGGGTGACAAAAGTAAAAGTGTAGTTCATATTGAGGAAAAACATGATAAACAGATGAAGAGAGAAAGAGAGAAAGAGAGAAAGAGAGAGAGAGAGAGAGAGAGAGAGAGAGGGGGGGGGGGCGTCTTACGAATTATTTAATAAGTTGTGCTCAATGCAAACAGACCTGATAGCGGTATACCCCTCTTCATCTCTCGATCAATATAAAATGGGTCTTCAATCTTCATTTAATATAGGTATTGTATTATGGCCCTTTTTGTGGCTTTACTGATGCCTGGCCCAGACCCCGTTCTTACCCCCCATTAGAAGTCCCTCCAATATATTATAGAGAACATGTTTGTTTAACGGAATGAAGATCATTGTATCCCGTATGTGTTGTTAAGATCTAAAGTCATATTACCACATCACAAGCTACCGACTTGCCCTGATATCTGCTGTCAATGCAATGTGATTTAGATGGCTTCATGTGTAGGTAATGTGCTAAGACAAGAACATAAGGGCAACTTTCTTTGGGGTTGGTTGCTAATGGAGCTACTGATGATCGGTATATGCAGTCAATTATTATCATACAGACAAGCACAGATCTACTTACTTTGCCCACGATGAAATGGGCCTGATATATTTCAAACAGCGTGCGAACATAGTTAGGCATAGAGAGTGTAAGTTGTATGAGCGTAAACTTCTTTATGAAATTAATTATCTTTGTATCAGTTTTAAAAACAGTAAAAATAGGCCAATAATGAGATTCTTGTTCCGGATCGTATAGACTTAGTTTTGTCAATATTTTTGTAATATAATTCTCAGAATTTGAAGACTACTCTTTAATTTCTTTCCGATTCTCTTATCTGCCGCAATGCGCTAATTTTCCATGCGTCTCGAGTGATCTCCGCGGACATTTATCATGTAACCGTCTTGGGTCTTGCACCTGTTCCGTGGGTCCCCTCATCTTTGTGAATGAGCGCCATCTCGTGTTGAGGATAGACACAGGGGCAAGGACGGATCGTAGGAGGGGTTCGGCAGAATTGGGTCTCATTAATCCGAGGGATTAGGGTGACAAGGATTACATGGGAAGTAGTTGAGGAAAGAAGATTTAGCCCTGAAGTCTGATTAGCCTTGTGACTGACAGACTGATGTCTACTCTGTGAATGACTGAATGGAACTCTGATGGAAAGGCGTGAACGCAAGTGATATAAAATTATGTCGACCAACATTTTACCATTGATATAGGCCTACTAGCGAGTTAACGAAACAAGAATAATCAGGATAACGACGTAAAAGCATGCACAACAAGGATTTAAAAGAAAATTTGAAATTATTCACACGAAAAATATGTAATTCTGTTACCGCCCATGTGGAATTAACTGTTGACACTGCATGGACTCCCTTTTCTGATCACTGAAAGAACATTGAGACAGAATTATTACTTCTGACAGATTTCCTCTCCCAGTTGGATAATTTTCATCGGTTGATGGCGCCATACTGGTCAGCACTGTTTTACTACATAGTTACATGTTGTTCAGGATGAGGCCCATTTTCATGAAGGAAATTACCTAAAATATCCCAAGATGATAGCGACTCAATCCATATTCAAATGGCATGTCAATTCTCGAAAGTCAATTTTTTCCATAATCATGTTCGTTATCATCCCTTCTCATCAATGTATTGTGATTTGTATCATGAACATAACGATTAAGTGCTCCACTAGAGCGTAATTTAGCCACAGACGGAGAAGGGGTAGATGGGCGCCTCTCTAACTTGACCTTTAAATAAAATTATTAGCAATTTTGAAGGTAAAGTTTTCAGGGTAAAGGAATATGAGCCCTGAAAAGCCCTTGCAATTTGCTGTTACAGTCATGTCAACCATCAGAAGTCGCGAGGTTCAGACCGCCTACCGCCCTCTCCCTTCCTCCCTGCCTCAGTCACTCTAGCTAATAACAGGTGACATGCTTAATACCTCAGTTACACCTGACGAGACCGATTTTGTTGTTGTTGTTGTTGTTGGGTTTATTGGCGCTATCCATCGAATCCGATGATTTACACCAGACTTGGTGTGAGAGGGCGTCTTTCTCTCTCCCGACAACGGGGCCCCACCTTGCCTAATCATGACCTATGACCTCATTATCCAAGTATAAAACATGTTTTGTTTGATGACAAGTTCAAGTTTTGGTGCCTGTTGTATGTAATCATGGAGCCCCGACACTAACAATGCCATATCCTCTTTAACAGGTTGCAGCATACATAACTCATAAAAAGCGTCCACTTGTAATTCTTTTGATTCTCTCCCAATTATAAATGCGGTTTCCTTGAGATATATTATAATTTCTACCCTGAAATTTGCGTGATTATGAAGCAAACTACTTTCAAAAGTTCATAAGAATTCGTCTGTTTTTTTTATCAGAATTCCCATCGTAAAATTATAATCTGTGTCAAATTAAAATAAGTATGTATGATACTAGATATGATTTTCTTTAGTGAAACCCATGGATAGAGTTGATGTTAAATTCATAGCACATCCAATTTTCTTCACATATAGAAGTATATTTTCCCTACCTTTAATCGGGCAAGATTCGCATTCCATTTCATTATGTCGCTGTGAAGGGATAGACGCATGCTCCAGACGTTTGATTCCTTAGGGGTTTCAAGTTGTCTGGAATAAGAAATATGTTTGCTATTAAAGCCAGTGTAATGGCAAACATACTACGTTCATCATCAAACAGAATCGTTTCTCATTTCACTACCCTGAAATATCTGAAATGTAATTGAAAAATCCAAATGAAACTAATTCCTAGTTTCTCTTGCCATCCTTTTTCCATTTTCTGCCCACTTCAATTCTTGTCTCGTATACTTTCTTTTGCAATTAAATAGATAAGTATCTGAGAACATGCAAACCATTGGGTTAATAAAAATCATCAATAAATTGCAATTTCACCTTGTTTTTAGAATCTGTCGTGCATTTACATATGGAATCGCTTTGAGAAAACTGCTATAGTTAAATTAACCCAATGACATGAGCTGAATAAATATAGGGTACCAAATAAAATGGAATCCTTCCTCCTTACTTCCACAAAAATTGAACGAGAAAATAGAAATGAATCAATTTGACTTGGCCTAACAGAGGCCTAACTCTTGATTTGAATTGGTAAACAGCAAAACATGTGAGCCTCAACTATTACAATAGTGTCGTGTTGAGATCGGTGTATGGTATATTGGCAGTAGGAGAGGTACATAATTATGAAGCAGCAAGGAGAGACTTGTAATTCCTGAGTCATATGAGAGTATTAATTATCTCCAAACTTTGGAGAATCAAATCAGTCACATCATTATGAACTTCCACATATGTAAAACACAAGATGAAGAGAGAGCCAGCTTGAAAGAGGGTCTTGATCTATTGGTGATCAAAACTCAACCTTCCTCATAATGCCAGAACATGTAATATTTATCCAGAAGGATACAAGTTATATGAGGATAAGTTACATTGAGTCAACATGAAATGAGAGCCGCCAAAACAATGGACTACTTCGTAGTTTTATGTATGGGCTTAAACATAACAGAGGTTCCTGGGAAGGGGATTGTGAATGCACTTGGTCTTTCTATAGGGAATGATTATAAAGATATAAACTTGGCTTTTAAGTGTATCTCAAATTGGGCATCTTGTCAGGGTGTGAATATGAGGGTACTTTATAATTAAGTGGGTTTCGGGACAATAACACACGACAATAGTCCTTACTTGTGTAGGATGTTTATTAAAGGAGAAATAAGAGGTAGGCCTATACATAACAACAAAGAGTTATCAATTGATTTTAGGGCTTTTAAAGTGCAAGAAACAATTAGGTGTCACGTCATTCAAACAAACCCGCTCGTATGATAGTGATACGAGGGTTTCTCGGGAATTTTCTTTTAAGAAAAAAAAAAGGGGGGTCAGGGCATGCAACATTCTTCATGACTATTCTTTACAGAAGGCTGAACAATGAAGAAAGTATCAGTTACATTTTCATAAATCACAAGGTCAGATGCTTGCCCTGACCTTGCACCTAATGTAATGTATTAACACTCTGCCATCATATATAATCACCGCTCATAATGTTAACCATCTTCTTTACACACTTTCACTAATGGTAACCCAATTAAGATTTATAGTTCGTTCTATCGTTATTGACGAGGATATAGAGCCTGGAGTTCACGTCTAGTTGGTACTCAATCATCCATTAACGTTCGACATTTAAAGCAGTCTGGTATTCGGTTTATAATTGTGTAATGACTTCATAAGCTCCCACCTGCAGAGTCTCCTTTCCAGTCCTAAACTCTTTCAAGTCGTAAAATAATATTTGTAAAGAATTTCATAGCAATTAAATTCATATTGGTAAACAAAATTGAAAATATTGGTTTTTTTCACTTTCGAGTCCATAAATAAAACGATTCATATCTATGCCTTATTTCTTTTTTAGATGTCAAATCACAATACTCTACTAACTTCGCATTTTTAATTTTAAAGAATTGTATAAGAGGGTCTTGAACGAGACAATCTTAACAATTTCAAATTATCATAAATTGTTTTCCTGAATGTATACTTTTTTACCATTGCAATGCCTTAAGCATCAGAAGAAAAGTAGAAGTGTACTCGCTATGTATTACTTGTATATTTACTGAAAAGGAATAGTATTATTCAGTTTCTCCTATATTTTTTCTTTTATCTACTACAGATCCAGTAGTGTCTAACAATCACGAGGATAAAAGGTAAGCCAATTCTCTTCTGCTTCTCTCTTCGGTTACTTCTTTGATTCATTTTTACAGTCTGTCTTCAGCCTAAATCTTGACGTACTTCTCAGGAACCCTCTCTCTCTCTCGCTCTTCGTTCCCTTTCTCCCACTTCATTTTGCAAATCGATTACCGAATGTATTTCATAATTTTAGCCCCATTTGCCCTTCTCCCTCCCAATCATCATGTTCTTCGTGATATCTTTTGATTATACTTTTCATCATGATGTACCCACCTTATTTATATGTATTTGTTGTTGTTATTGTCACCAAATAGTTACTCTAAGAAAGCATCGATATTATTTTGGTCTGAAATAAATAATAAGAGCTAGCGGGGATATCGTCATCAAGACAAAGTAATCATTTTGTAAATGTTATTCCAATGACTACTCACACTTCAAATTCGGAGCATTGATTGAGTCATAACTACAAGAGTATAAATATCCTTTGTCCGAAACGGTCGACGTTTTTTTGTTTGGCTTCTTCAGTACTTTGCTAAATGTGTAATCCAAGATTTGTGAATTTTAAGAACCCTGAAACAAGGTCACGCGATTATCAAAAACATACGAGAACATTTCGAACATATATATAGGGGGTTAATCACACTGTGCAAATATTTCGGTTAAAATTGTGAAATTCCCAAACGATGTGTAATTGTGTCCATATGTGTTGTTTCCCTGTATCATATCAACCTATTAGCGAGCCAAGGGCTCATATAGTCGGAACATGTAAGGCTTCGGAGATGATTTAGTCCTGACAGTTTTTGAATGTAGAGATTGGTCATAAAGATTAATTTTATTTCTTTGAAAGTACTTAGGTTATTATTAGGATATAAATAATGATTAATGGACATGGGGGATGATATTGTAAGATTTCAGAATCTTTAGTTAACAGAGATCTGTATGATGCTAACAAAATAATCCGCTTTCGAAACGACCAAAAAAGCTTGAATTCGTGCCTAAATTGAAAGACTTTCAACGATTTAAGTTTGATTTGACCTGTCTTGAGTTGCAACTTCTAGTTTATAAATACTACGACTCTAACAACCTATATAGCCCATGGTTTTCCCAATTGAATAGGCTACGGAAATCCAAACTTCTGGAATCATATTTCTTCGAATTCCTGTAAGTATGACCGCACCAATTGAAAAATAATAATAAAGAGGTATCCAAGAAATCCTCAGTTGGATACATATCGTGTTCCCGATATACGTAACACCAATACAACCTCGCATTCTGAAAGAGAGGGGTTTCTAACCATGGTTATGATGGCCTAATACTTATAAATACCTTTTGCGACAAGTTGAATTCACTTTCACTTTCAATGCAATTTCTTCGAAGTTCTTTGAAACTTTGTGAGGTATCTGTCCTTGTTTATGATACATTGATCAATATTCAAGTTTAATGACCCTCTCTTGCCCTACTATTGCCTCCAGTGATTTGAACTTGAGCCAACCTTTTCAACCGTTGTACGTAACATGCTCTGACGACAAATGTTCCACGGTCCTACACTAATCGAATTCCTAACTTCAACCCTGGACCGAACACAAGCGTATACGACCCTATAACCCTAACCATAACCCTAAATGTAACCTAGTATAACTGAATTGCAACCCTTAACAATAACCCTGTAATATCTTGACGACATACAACCTGTACCAGTTGTCACCGGAGAGAAATGATTACTCCATGAGAGAAGTTATACATGTTATGAGATTTTTTTTCTTCTTCAAGCTTTTCATTGGTTTCATTTTACGAAGATTACAGAATATATCTGCCACCATTTACCGAAAGATAATCAAATTTGATCATCAGAAAAATCAAGAGAAAGGGAGACTAGATAATTATACAAGAAAGCAAATAGATAAATATCTTGTTTTATTCACTTTGATGTTGTCAAGAAGGGTCAATGAACGTGTTACATGTATAAATCTTCCTCATCATGATATTGATTACCTTTTCGTCGAAGTCTCAATGCAGTAAATGCTGTGAAATATATTTTTGATATTGTGAATTTTCTAGATTATCCAGAATTGTAAGTCATCTTCTTTTGTAATTATATGGATTGTCTCGCCATGGCCTCCACCGGGATAATGGGATTCACTCTGTCCCGCAATCGATGAGATGGTATTTGGGAGGGTATGCTTGAGAGACAGTGGTCTTAAAGGGTACCTGTAGGGAACAAAAGAGAGCAGTAGATAGCCTCTAACCACCGACAAGGCCAAAACTTGACAATCATTACATCAATTATCATCCAATTCAATAAAATGTTATTGTCTTGCATACATCGTATCGTAACTGTGTTATGTCGTTCTCGGAGAGGCTCTTATATGACCATGGCACCGCTTGTGATTTGGGGGGGGGGGTGTATGGCCTGGGGCACTTCTCGTTGTCAAACATACCGATTAAAATATATAAATATATCATCAAACTTTTAAGTCCAATTATTTTCAAATCTGAAAAGATAAAGAGAATTTTGAAAAGGGGCTGAAAATTGATAGCTCAATTTTAGTTGAAATAGACGCATCTCATTTGAATCATTTGATTTATATTTACGATAAGGTAAACAGAATCTACATTTGCACTAACAGTTTTAAGAACAGAACTATTTGAGAGAGATAATCGAGCAAAATACTGCTACAGACAAAATAATTACAACTATTTTTCCAGCATGTCAGTGCATTGTGTAGATGTACGATAGAACGAATCTGTCAAAACAAGCACACCTTAGTAACAAATGAATGTGATATCAATTTAACCTCATTAATTGAGTGGTGGGTTCCTCTGTTTACTTCGTCTGTACGTATAGATGAGTCACTGAAAGAAAAACAGTCTCTCTTAAAATAGAGTGAGACATCCTATTAACTAGATACTCGAATGAAAAGACGTAAAATAATTTATTTTTGTATTCTAACACTTTGAGACTAACTAAACAGCTATACGCTTTTGCTAACTCTATATTCAAAACATTTTCATTTATTTCTTGCATGAATTCATTTTTATTTAAATACATCATGTTGCATGTGGGTTATCACTGTTGACATCTCTCTAACCCCCCAAAATATGCAGATTGTTTGAGAAACTAGTAGACAGAAAAGTGATAAAACTGTACGTCGCCATTTTTAATATCGAGGGGCGTTTGAGTCATAATTTATGGTTTATTAATGCGTCATTTTGTATTTTCCAAAACAAATCATCACGAGGAAAGTTGTTTTATCACTCATCCAGTAGTCACGCTATTATGCTTTACTGACAGGGTGATATTGGACGGATAGAAGCATACAGAAGAATGGAAATGGAAATATGACACCGTCGACTGATCTGGTGTTTGCGGGATTTTATTAATTTCGACTTTTCATTTAGGCCACACAAATCTACATTGACAGCACGAGTAAAAGGATAGTGCCACCTCTCTATCACACCCCTTCCCTCCCAATGCTCATCCCTTTCCATCCCATCCATCGCGGTGCAGGAGCAAACTGACGAAGCGATTAATTGTGGAGTAATGGAACTATAGGTATGATAAACAATAAGGCGTATGAGAATGAAACGAAAATTAATCAACGATGTTTTTCTTCCTTTGATATGCATTTTATATTTTAAGAGACTTCACAGTTTCCTGGAACCATTTCCCCTTTTAATATTTGGACACATATTAAAAATGAGCCACCCTGTAGCCCCCTCCTTCGTCACGTCACCATGCAGCTCCTTGATGCTTTTGTCTTTCCCAAGAACTGACATGTCAAACTTAATTGATCTCTTAAAAATCCGAAGACAATAGACAGCGGAATAACCACGTTAAAACATGAATAACAGACAGAGACATGTAATACCAGCACGTTACACGTGTATCCTGGATATTTGTTAAAGAATGAATGCAGGAGATTTAGTCTGCCGAGCTAAAAAGGAAATTAATCTTGAACGAAAGTTGTTTTTTCGTTTGTGCTATTTTTCGTTTTGCCAGTTATTCTATTCTTTATGCTTTTATTATAACAAAAAATTGATAATATTAGTAGATGGTTGGCCATCTGAAACAACAAAGTGATACAAAGAATTTGTATAAAGGATTACATAATCATAAATTATGATCACATTATTATTATTATTGCCATTAAATTAATAATGATGATAATTTACTGGAGTCTCCTACATGTATATCACGAGTCTTTGCAATAATTATGCTTATTGCCTTTAGCATATTATTTGTGTTTTTAGTCATTATGCTTCTTATTCGATAGAAAACAAACCTTGATCAATATACTGTTATCTCACATCAAATATAAGTATTTCCACGTTGACCAAGAACTATCAAGTTATCAATGAATAATGATGAGGAAAATATTGACCAACCAATCCTTGGGTAAAAGGTAAAGTGGATGTCAACTTAAAGATGAAGTTGAGTTCTGGAATCAGTGTGGAATCGATCAGAAAGGGTTGATCATCTAGTATATAAGTACTGGTGTGTACTGCAAGGTTCTGGAATCATCAAAATAATACGAAATTTGGCCCAGCCTTGGTTAAGTTACAAGCACTGTACACAGAAAGATGTATATGGGACCACACGAACATGTGGCATAAAAAATCAGTCCTGATTTTTATTCTGTTACATGCCGTATTTAGAATATTAAGGCATTTGAAGAGCCATGCTTTTCAGGGAACATTAATCTGATGAAAATGATAACAATGATAAGGCTCACAAATTATTTTTCACCTCTTCCTAGAACTCGACCTTCTCTTTAAGATGGTCAGGGTTTCTTGTGTCAGTCAGCGGGACCAAAATAGTTCAAGGATCCTTCATTCATGAATCATGAGACTAAAAACATTTATTTATAACCGTAGCTTCATATTCCTTGGGAGCTAGAGCAGGTTATATCAAGGTGCCTGCCATCCGATACCTCATTATTCACAGTATGAACTTATCTTGTATTAGCCTGGCTTGCCTTCTGCTTCATTTGTTCTTTTCAAGTTTCTTGCCTTAATATTGCTCCCCATCACTGACTATATCCGGCATCTTCCGGATTTTGACCAGGTCAAATCGATATTTACTGATAATAAGAAAAAATAGAAATGGCCAAGACAATTTTATTATACATATATCGCGGATGATTGAAAGAGATGGCATCTTATTCAGTTACACATGATGGTTTACATGGTATGTGTCAGAGGAGTATCTTTAGGCCTTCCGAGATATAACAAAATAAATTCATTAAGGTTCATAAATCAGTCTGATACAATAGCAGTGCATACTTATCCATATTATTGCTAGAACAGTGTAGAAAGAGAAATTAGTTCTGAACAACATTCAGCCTTGCCTTTCACTAAGAATATCGAACCTTCGTTTCACTGCTGGGAAATCGTTGAACTTTTTTTCGCTTGAGTTTAATTAAGGGCAGATACTAATTACCATTACATCTTGTATTCCTCCATGTGATGACGTCATTACTACATACGTCTGTTTCTAAGAAACGAAGTTCCTTTTCTATTGACCATCTATACTTGCATGTCGAAGATGATTGATGGATGCTTGTTGCTAGGAATTACTTGCAGTCATGCAGTAATACATTACACCACAATCTCATTAAGTGTAGTTTTAAATTGACTAGAAAATCCTAAATATGTATACCATACTGCTCAAGTCAGTTACGCCAACAGGTGAATATACTATCACGTTTTTGTGTTCTTTATACTGTAGTCAAAGTTGCGTATTGATTAATATATTTCGGTCGGTAGGTTTGGAACCAGAACAAATACGTTTACAAAATATGCAAAAAGTTATAATTCTAAGAATCAGAATGATGAGGAGAAAATAGGTAGTAAAATAAGGAAATGATGATGCTGCGATGATTAAATGCAAATAAGACAAAGAGGAAGAGGAGTAAGATCTACATATGTATTACGTAATGTGAACCAGTCAGTTAAAACAATTGGGGTGCATTATGTAGGATAAAGAACAAGAAATACGCTCTTTGTTAGGTGCCGTGACTTGACAAACATCAGACGTTTGTAAGTCATTAAAATCACGTATCCAACTGCACATACGTAGGAAATTAGTGAATCATTTTGTCGAGAAAAAAAAAAATTCACAACAGGATCTTCAAATCACTTGTAGGATAATGGACAATTAGTGAAACCTCCCACATCTTATTACATCTTCTGTTTTGCTAAAACTTTGATTATTATCATGTCCGACAGAACATTGACAAACAAGGAAGTCAAGAAAGGAATTATAACATTTGATCTTCACAAGGTTCTTCTAATGAATGAAAATTTTCAAGCAAACTCCCCTCCCGCTAAGGTTTTTTTTTGTGTGTTTTAGGGATTTAACAACTAACATGTTCTTGCCCGAAGTAGCAACGGTAGCTTTTGTATACACTGTATTCATATTAGCATTGCGATATTTTATGAGAGAATCCCGTACCGTAAAATCATTAGGCATACTCGATTTTATAAATCTACTTTGCGATTCTTCTAACTAAAGTCCATATGAGAAACAAACTCCGACATCTTTTCTTTTTTTTTCTCATTAATCTTTCACCTTTTACCTACAATGATAACATTAAACGCCATTGCAGGATATCCATCTATTTCTCGAATGGTTCTGGATAAAGCTATTAAGGAAATAAAAATACCATTTGACAACGAAAGTGACTTCTCATTTATTTCAATCCAAAATGATTCGAAACGGTTCATGCAATTTAGGATCGTATTACATAGCGGTCTGGTCAATTCTATATTTGATGCCGTTACCATGGTTACAAGTATATTGATGTTTTAGCTCCGACTGTCAGAACTGGAGGGTGTATTGGTATCGCAGGTGGGATCTATAATATTAACAATGTCTCTTCTTTGAACTTAGCTAGAAGGCATCTAAGCACAAAGAAGACCGATTATATTATTTTAACCTGGTCCATCGCGGAAGAGTGTGGAGGTGACGATATAAAAACTCTTCTTCTAAGGATATAGAGCGACAATCTCAGTTTTGATTCGTGTTAAATGTGATGAAGGGTTGTGCTAGGTTTCTAGTAATGATTGAATAAGTAAAATGTATTTGGAATGGAGATCACGAACCGAAAGTAATTTTGAGGAGACTTCAGAATCAAATGTTTTTTGTGATAGCATGAATGTGAAAGCAGCAACATCTAACAGTTGCCAGTCTGGAATGCTGTGTATTATTAGACAAGCATGACTTAAACATCATATCATTTACAAAAATCATTATGTTACGCATCACAGGATTCTTTTAAAGATGTTGGGCTGTCTTAATAACAAATGAGATCGTCTAAGACAGAAATATATCAGGCTTAAACCTTAATATGAATCAAAGAATTGATATACGTCAGATACACGAATGTATATGTACCCCATTATATGACGTCTATTTATGGCATGTATGTTGTGTAGTTCAGGATCATCGATTGTCAGTGTGTTTCACCCCAACATATGACTTGTAGTTCATATTCCGGGTTCATATTATAGCTATGAACTTCTAACGTCCTTTCCATGTATCATTGTGACGTATGTCTTGTAGATCATTATTACACTCATCATGAGCATACATGTTTACGAGGTACATGATCAGTTAGTATTATTTCCATAATCCAACTAATATGAACCGACTACTCGGTACCTGGTGTATACTATAATGAAGTCATTACGAACCGTTCATTTGCGGACCTAACATAACTTCAAAATTTTTGGGTCCAAGTTAATTTATTAATACACTCGTCAAAGAGAGGGAATCATAGTTTCACCCAAGCAATGAAAACTGAAATTAGGGCCGACTAGTCCAATGTCAAGTTATCCGACACATCAGCCTTGCAGAAAACAACAAAAAACGTCATGGTATACGTTTGACCGTGTCCACCGTTAGCTATGACCTCACTCAGGTCACCTTATACCCCTGAGGCTTGGTTCCAGTACCCCTACATGACCCTCTCTGAATCCTATTACCCTTCAGAAGAGTGGTGTAAATAATATGGCCTGCTGGTCGACAACTGACAGGACGGGAATAGTAGCAGAAGAGGCGATAGAGAGATTTAGGGGGTTTAGACCAAACGTGTTTTTAGACCTTACGAAAGAGGTTACGGCATTAGCAAATACCTCATGGCAGTGAGATGTATTCATTTCTTTTCTTATAATCATGCGATGACCTATTGCCTACCAGGTGCAGCAGTGACGTCATTACTTTTGAAAAGTGGAATGAATATGAAAGTGAGGTCTAGCGGTGTACCATACAACCCCTATGTTACTCACCTGTCATCTCAAAGAATGATATGGGTATCCGATATTGTGATATCTAACAACACCAATAAACCACTTGATAGACTAGCTCTGGACTGATGCTATCTATCAATGAGAGGACATGCTTGTATTTCCCCTCGGCTATAATGCTTGAAAAATAAACTAATTAGTTATTCGATTCGATATGAAGCAAAATAGTGATATATCAAGTGACATCCTAAAAACGTACTGACACTTTTCCTCCAACGACACCCCCCCCCCCCCCGCCCTTCCTCAAAATAGGAGGAAGAAAGTGAAAGAAGTAATGAAAGAAGAAGAAGAAGAGAAAATATAAAGAAGACAAAGAAGACAAAAGCTGGTCGTGCCTCTAATAATCTGCATTAACATAGATAGAACTGCTCGTTGTTTTTAATTTAGCAACAAACAGCGACAAATCTCTCTCTCTCTCTCTCTCTCTCTCTCTTTCCGTCTCTCTCTCTCTCTCTCTCTCTCTCTCTCTCTCTCTCTATCTATCTCTCTCTCTCTCTCCCTCTCTACTTTATTTATTTCTTCCCTTTTTCACGTGGCGAGTGTTTCTAAGGGAGACATACCGTACGATGACACGCCAAAATACAAACAATTTAAATCTTGTTTCAGAAGAAAATGATAATAATAATGTATTCATATAGCGCATTTTCCATAAACATGTTTAAATGTTCGTTTTGCACATGTTCAAGAGAGTACTAGTATATTATTTGCTAGAACTCACAATTATTTTATGTCCTACCGCACCCCTCCCACACACATGCGTACTGTGTCATTATTTTCATCACAGAGCGAGATAGCCTATTTGAAAGCCTGTTCGCACGTCCTTGCCAAAATAGGTTTGTTTGTAGAAGTCTGATTAATGTCTTATATCATTTACATGTATTGTGCTTGTCTGCCTAAACGCAGATTTGTAATTCATCACTACATACATAGACATGGTGTACTGCATATCGGCAGTTTACTCTACTAGGTCTTCATGACTGTGTACAAAGAAACACTAACAATTGAAGAAAGCCGTAATTGCTTTATTTAATCGAACGATAGGTAAATATAGGGATCAGAACAATCTTCAAACTAGCAAATCTTTTATAATGTAGGCCAACATAAAAGATGTTACTTTAATACTTTGAGTTATTATATACCGATGGTGGTGTATAGGTGTACCGTGTACGGTGTAATGTTGGTGGTTGAGGAGACTGTTATTTGGGAACAGTTGTTAACTTCAAACAGGTGGCTTGGATAGTTGTTGAACATGATGTCAAGTAATAAAGTCAACTAGCTAATATTAGAAACATGTTTCCGTGAAGGTAACAGGCGTCTTATCTACCACATTATTCACGTCTATTTTTGTCATTTTCCTTCTTTCTTTTTTAGATTGGGATTACGATGTATTTCATACTGATGTTTAGTTTAAGTCTAACGCGTTGTTTTTTATTTTTCTGTTTACCTCTCTCACAGTTCACCCCCTGAAACTACAGAGTCACCTTCGAGACAGAACAGCACAGGCCGCAAGTTCTGGCAATTCAGCTCGAGCAAGAATAAGGATCAGAGAGGGGACAAATTGGCAACGTCATCCAAGTCTTCTACTCCCGCAGCCGCTGCGAGCAAACAATCATTCTTCAGTTTAGATCGGAAAGGATCGTCACGCACTGAGTCTGAGCGGTCTGAGCCTCGCCGTGAGCAGCGAGCTACTCGCACTTCTACGGCATCGTCTCCACGGTCCCAATCAGGCTCCAGCAAATCAGCCGTCGATAAATTGAAAGAGAGAGCTGAAGCATTTACCAAGCAATACGAAAGGAAAAAAGAAGAGAGGCAGTCGTTATCTGATCGTGAACCACGTCGCTCAACTAATATCTCGAATTATCTGCAACGATACACTCGGAGTGCGTCGGCAGAGAGAAGTAGTAGTTTTAGCATCGGGAGCACCTCGAGCCCGAGTAGGCGAGGGAGCAGCGCATCGACATCAGACGAACCCGACCTCGCGCCTTATTCACGACCACGGCTAGCCACCTACGCGACCATGATTCGGTCGACGCAAAGCATTGGAGCGCTCAGCGCAAAGTTTGAGGCGGGCAAAGCAAACGGAACTGATACAAGGAAAGGAAATTCATCAACACTACCGAGAAAAGATCTCAAATATAATGCTAACTTGGATGCTAAAAAGGCACTTTTTAGTAGCACCAGCAATGGAACGACAAATTCTTCTCCAGTCAAGAGTAAAACGAGAGAACCTGTTTCGGTCCTCTCACGGGCAGCAGTCACATCACCACCGTCGACGTCATCGTTACGATCAAAATTCGAGTCGAAATCAAATGGAGATAAAGATGCGCCTTTCACCCGCACGACACCGGTCCGACAATCAACAGGAAGGCTCTCATATCTAGACAAAATGGAAACAAAGGAGAGAGACTCATCCCCTTCCTCGTCGTCATCGTCATCGTTCAGTAGATCATCAGCAGCTCGACATTCAACGATCGGAGTTATGAAATCCCCATCGACAGGCAATAAACAAGACACCAGGAATGGTGTTAATACCAAGCGCCAAGAACCAGCTCGTCCTGTATCGACTTTCATTTCGCCCTCCAAGTCATCGTCAGTATCATCACCGATATCATCTACCAATCAGAAAACATTCGTTTCCCGCTACGAAACCGTCATCAATTCAGACTCCGAATCTTCCATCTGTTCCACCACCTCGTCATCAACCTCCGAGAAAAAGTCACGATCAACACCGTCGTCATCGATCTCGTCTCGTTACGAGATGAGATCGCCCGTCGTCGAAAAACCACCGTCGTTCGTCAAGAAACCACAAAAGCTGTCGGCATCGGAAGGAGAGTCGGCGACATTGTCGTGCATGGTTGAAGGTGAACCCAAGCCCGAGGTCACGTGGTCATTTAGGGGGAAGCCCCTAGTGGATGAAGGTCGGGTTGAAATCTACCAGGAGAAAGGTACATACTACCTAGAGATCTTTGATTTGGTAGGACGTGATGCTGGACTTTACACCTGTCGGATCGTCAACTCGGCTGGACGATCATCAGCTCTCGTTGAACTCGTCGTCAATGGTGAGTATATTATCCCTCTTCTTTCATTCAGGTAGTCAAAACCTCGTCAAAGTCATATTGAACTCTAAAAATTGTTAGTGGTTAAATCACTCTCTAATTCATATTTCCAAGTTAACATTGTTTCATTGTTTAATTCAGTTTTTCGAAAGGTTTAGTATTTATCAAGCGTTTTTTATTTTATAGAATTTGAATTTCTCCCCCCCCCCCCACCCTATTCATTTTGCAAAGACTTCATGACTACATGATGTTACCACTGACTCATGATGACTACATTATCAACTGTATACCATATATTTTATCTGATATACATGTATAATATCTCTCTCAATTCAAACGGCAGATGTGAATATTTTATTTATTTATTCAGTTTGATTTAAAAACAGGGTATTCTTTTCAGTGCCAGAGGCCTGAAGTGAAAAGGCCTGAAAATATCTACTCGATGCTCTTCGTGTATCTCTTTCTTACATGTCGATATATTAATATTAAAGTAGAAATTGTATCACTTCCGAGATGGCTCTAGTATAATTGACGTAATGGATCGCAATAATTCATTGACCAATAACAATAGATGCAACACCTGCCATTTGTCGGCATATGATTGATACCGAATGTTCGGAGGCTCGATTCAAAAGATCATATTCTTAAGATTATTTCGACATTAATATAAAAAGTAATCAGTCAAGCAAGCAAAGTGGAAAACAAGCATTCATGTTTTTTGTGTTTTTTTGTAGATAAGTTTTATTTGCAATTCACATTGTCACAAAAGATAATCTCAAAAAAATACATATTCTTTTTTCTTCAATGATACAGAGACATGATTGAATGAAATGGAACATCTCATAAAATAGCATTCAGTAAGATTTCAATTATACAAGCATTCATGTTACCAATTGTTATTAAAGTGTAAAGACTTCTAGAAACCATTATATTTTAATGTTTTTTTTTTACTAACATTGTATGACGTAGAATCCTGTCACATTATTCACTTTTTTGCGGAACAGTGGATACATTTTCATCTTGACAACATTTATGTTACACTCGAATTCGACGTAAACGAAACTTCATTATAACTCTCAATCTTCTTTCCAAATTGAGCGTCAAATTTGAGGAATGTTTTTATTAAGGCCAGGGAATTGTAATACATTTAATGGCGCGTTTTCATTCTGGTATTTAATGTCATTTGCCAAGGCTGAGATATGAATGGATGAATTGTGTTTGATAACCTCATCAAATGATTAATTATTCAATGTTTCCATGATTAATTTGTCTGTCATGACTCCCGAAGGAGGATATTTAACAGGATTTCCGAGACAGCTTTGAAAGGAAAAGTCACGCAGGGAGAAAATGAGGCTGAACAGGGAGTCATTTATCTCTCAAGTATTTGTGACTGATATGAAAGCATCTTTGTTGAGATCGAAAGTGGATTGAACGGGAGAGAGAATCATAAATCATTGGGTGTGTGTGATTGAGTATCATAAACAGAGAATAATATGTGACTCTTATTGACCTGGCGTGTGGCATTGTGGAGCAGCATAGTTCAAGTAGTTAGGAGAATTTAATTTCAGAGATTTAGAGAAATATGTTAATCTTGTAGCTTTCAGTTGTAAGAAACGTTGATAATGCAGCTAAGAATTATCTATGATAAACGGTAGTATTGTTGCTAGGGGTGGAGGGGGGGGGGGGGGACATATAACAAACTTATGAGGCAAAGTAAAAAGAAAAACCAAACCTAAAACATCGAGGTTAAAAAATGGTGGTTGGGGGTGGGGTTAATTTAAGACCTTCAATCATAACCATTTAAGGTATTATTACGTATAGGGCATACATAATTACACTGACACTTTCGCCATAAACACAGGTAAAGACTCTAATTTTTGATAAGTAACAATGCTCTGGTAAAATCCATCTTCCCATAATTGTAATTCGAATTTTGGATGCAAGTATGCCTTGAAAGAAGTCTATGAACTTGGACGTCTTTAACGTGGTTCAAGTCGTGTTTTTCCTCTGAGTTCGTGTTTCTTTTTCCTCGAGTTTGTTCAACATGACGAGTTATCACGTCCACAAAGAAATCATAATGCCCGCGGGTGTCCATTAGCAGCACATGGTAATAATAGACCAGTCTGGTATTTCATGAAAATATGCGGTTTACATGTCAAAGTGGGCTGAAATGGATAGAAATGGAAAGTAGTCCGATTTTAGAAGAATTGTGAAGAAAATATACAAAACTTACAACTGTGTTTAATCATCATGCTGTTGATCGCTGTATACAAACCACAATCCATAAGGTTGGTTTGTTGTGGTTTTGAATCTTGGAAGAGCATCGAGAGAAGTCAAGAGGGCTCTAAGGAATTATGATTCCTGAAACTGTGATGAGGGGAATTGTTACCTTGATGTGCTACATCCGTTGAATGTTTTTGTACCTTTGTAGGAATGTTGCCCTCCTCTGAGGGAACAACAAATTGGAAAACAACAAATAAATTATATCGTAATACTTAGGAAACTTATAGTTCTACCTCGGTCCTTCCCCCCCCCCCCCCCCACATCTCTTTAGCGTCTCGACGCATATCTTTATTACCCCTCATGCCCTTTATGTACGACCTAAGACTCTGCCTGCAGCTTCTATTGTTCTAAAGAACCAAACAACAATTCTTCGATCAAACTTTCTTCTTCTTCTTTAAAAAACAAAACAATGTATGACCTGATTTAGGGATGAAGTAAGGCAAATGTCAACCTACTCTCAAGTTTCAGTGTTATTTTCCACCCATCCCAAGGCACTGTCACATTGGCTGTGCACCAGCCATCATATGGCCACACGTCTGTCATGACTCTGTGCTAACAATGTGCTAACAAGTACAGAAGGAATGTATCTTCGGATGTTATTAGATTTCTAATGTTGCCTGAAACTCTATCCATGTGGGGTTAACCTCTTACAATCCAAGTTAAACGAGTAATGTCAAGTCTGCAGACAATACGTGGCACAATTGAAGGCCTAAGATTGGAAAGAGAGAGAGAGAGAGAGAAAGAGAGGGGGATGGGGAGGGGAGAGATAGAGAGGAGGAGGAGAGATAGAGATAGGAGGTAAGATAAACATAATAATAGGATAATATCCTAAAACGCGGATAAGAAAGGAAAATGAAGAAGAAACAAAAAGAGAAAGAAATTGCAGAGACGTAATAGATACTTTTATGAAACCGTTTCAAATATTTTTGTACAGTATGAAATCAGTTATTTAAAGAATGAATTATTTCCACCAGGTTTATTTCGGTATTCATTTTTTAACAAAGCTAAGTTTATTCTACTTCTATTATCATTCTGTAGTTGCTTTAGTGATATCCTGCTGATGAGAGAAAATACGAAACTATTCGGAATAAAAACTCTCGACATGAAATCACTTTAAAGTACATTATGCGTTATGCATAGTGTGTTGTTATTCCTTATTTAATTTGATCGGTGAGATTTGTTATTAGCAGGCGTCTGCTTTGTGCATTCATTCACAATACGTTGTACGATCGTGTGTGAATTATGAAAGGTTTTTGAACACCATGTATTGATCAGTAATGAACCTTAACAAAATCAGAGAAGCAGTTAATTGATCACACAGTCGACTAGACTATGTCAATTAAGTATGTGTCTACTTACAAAACACGAAACAGCATAGATGGGGTGCAGTATTATAAATAGTAGGAAATTATGATACGACCACGGTATATACTAGCCCCTTAATCTAATACACGATGATGGAGCAATGCATAACAAAATGAGTTTGGGTATTCTTTTGTATTTTCGTTAGAGAAGAAATGCATTTAGTAGGTAAAGCCTATCCACATTAGCAATAAACTGTGTTACTGTTAGATACGACTAGATCTTCTTGACACAGTTAATCATTATAATCATACAGGTAGTTTGATAAATTAGGTTGCTCCACCCGGTTGACAAATCGTATAAATAGATCATGTCTTGTACTGATTCAAAGAACACAGAATGTCGAAACTTTTACTTTGGTGAATCACAATGGGTGAGAGTAATGTAGTGACAGTCCAAAGATTTCATCCAATTTATACATTGATTGTCTGGTATTGTACCAGTCCCACACACTGGCAAACACGTAGTGCTTCTCCCCTTTCATCCGCCTAATGAAGTTTGGTGCTTCTTTTATTGTGTTGAATTTGTTCGTATTTAATGAGCTACTTTTCCCTTGTGAGTAATGGGGGACTCTTTTCAAAAACCAACGCAATCTTCTTTCCCCGTCCCATTTGTGTAGTTAGTCCATTGACACTGTTTTGAATGTTTTGACCTCACATTCCTACGCTGTTTACACCCACCGACCCCAATTGAATGTGCACCCCAAGGTAAACGGTCCCGTCCAACAATCTAACAATCGGAGCTATTGACTCCACATTATACAAGACAAGATACATTATATGTGGGACTGCAGGCTCCGACCACGTAGGAGCTTTGTCACCTCTCGGGCAATTACCTATTTATCTTGATGGAGAGAGAGAGAAAAAAATGTTTGATGGTGAAATTTGTCCACGTACACATACAAAGGGATATGAGATGGAGAAAAGGGGCGTGTGTGAGTAAGACGGAAGAGCTGGTGCCAAGGGGACATGGATACTATGCCTTTATCATAGCACGGCTCAAATTATGATGCACATATAAACAGTCTATATTTGGAGTAATGGAGTAATACCAGACAGTAAGATTGCTGAAGAGTTTTAAAAATGGTAACATCTTCCTTTGTTGTCGTCGTGCCCTTCGCAGACTGATCAAGACATTAAAAAAAATTAAAGAGTCGAGGGGCATGATAGGTCTAGTTTTAAATTGGTGTTTGTTTCTGTTTTGGCTTTTTGGATTTATTGTATTTTCTTCATAGTCCAATACTTATATTGATATTTCATCATAACATGTTTTGTATCAGGAGGCAACGATGAACAGTTGTGTAGTATTGTCCCAAAACCCAATTTGAAATAAAAGCCAAGTTTATATCTTTATAATCCTTCCCCATAGAAAGACCAAGTGCATTCACAATCCCCTTCCTAGGAAAGACCACCTCTGTTATGTTTAAGCCCATACATAAAACTACGAAGTAGTCCATTTTTTTGGCGACACAATGCAACCTACCCTCATATTACTTGTATCTCATACACCGATCCCAACACGACATTGTCTTAGTTTGTAAGGGGTCATCTATGTTGGCACGTCTTTGTGAGAGGTGTGATTCCACATTGCAAAATGACCAATCCTGAATCATTCTACTCCATGTTCGGAGAAAATACCAAGTGGTCATTTTAGATACAGTGTACAATGATCACAAAATGAATACGGTTAACCGCGCCTTATTTGTTTCCCCCTCACCCGATGAAACATCGGAATGGGGGATTAAACAACCATTTGAGAAGTGTAAACTTCTAATTCTGTGAGCTGGTATTTACTTTTCTTTGTTGTTTACTTAGTTTTTGAGGGTGTGAATGAAAATAAGGGATTCTGCTAAAGCGGTAAAGGGAGGACTAGCTGTGTGCGTAATGCAGAGAAGTTGGGACTTGTTGGATGTTTGTAGTTGGGCTCAGCCTACTCTCAACGATCTGTTTGATGTTTGAAAAACTACAAACATCACAGGGTAACAACAGGAATGGCTAACTGTTATTTTTCAACACTGACTTACTAGATGTTTCTGATGCTTTCGGGAAACAAAGGCAAGCGGTTCAAGGAGAAGGACGTGGAAATATTTGGGAGCGCAACATGGGGGTGGGGGCGTCTTTGGGTAGCTTTCTTTACCCCCAAATAAAGGGTGTACAAGTAAACGTTGTTTTATTTGAACATTCATCATTTTAGGTTTCGTAGTAGACGGCCCTGCATTTATCATGACTTTAATGAAACAGCATAATGTATCCAATAGTGTAATAATCCACACTCGAGTGTTACATACAAATTTGTTGAAGATTCTGAAACCATGAAAGCGCGGAAAAAGGTTGAGGCATAAGGAAATTTTGAACAGCTGCTGGCCTAATCTTTCAAATCAACTTTACCTCTACGATGTTAGCACACTCCTGTTTCCAAAATAACATTTTGTTAAAAGCATAATACGGTTTCGAGGTCATTGTATTTTGATCTTATCCCTGAGGATAACTGAATGCATGTTAGTAGGGAGGGATCAGGAAGGGTGTGTTGAGTTTCGACGCGTAATATTTTGAACAATGATAGAATATTTGAAGGATGGAGTGGATCGGTTTGGATCCTTTCTTGATCTGATGCGAGGGAAGTCCTCGTTTTATGGTCACGTGATGTTCCTCTTCACCTGTTATCTTCTCTCTCTCTCTCTCTCTCTCTCTCTCTTTAGTAGAAGTTCCTATCCCCTTCCTTCCTCCTGCCCTTCAACAATGATCGTCTAAGATTCTAGCCTCTCATCTGATGCTCTTTGATATTGACACCGTTATTTTTTTTGCTCCTTCTTATTTACGTTCAGAGTCTGTAGATCTTTTATTTGTATAAATCATATATTTTCTCTATTTCATGACCAGACATACCAACCTGCTAGACGCGTAAAATATTTGGTCGGCCTGTTTATCACCGATTATCAGATTATTCCTCCATATAATTGTGTGACATTATCTTTGTGTGGGTTTGTATATAATTATAGTGTGACATAATGTGACTCATATTCGTTGACCTCTGGGCTGATAATTCTGCATCTTAATTCCCCGAAAAAATAGTCATAGTGCACCTGATCGTCCTTCGAATACAAATCAGTGACCAAAAAACCACATCGTGAGTTATTCACCAAATATTCAGAAAATTGTGTCAAAGCAGACAGAAACCCAGACTGACCAGTGGGTGGACAATGGTTTGACCATTGGAATATCCCCACAAGTTATTGTTTTCTGTTGATGATTCACTGGTATAGGTATGTCTACAAGGGGTTGTTAGGACAGTCATAAAACACTTGATGTACTATCAACCTTCCGCTATTAGCCTTAGATATCTCATTAACACAGGTTAACGAGCTCAACGGGCATCGCTCTGATGGACGAAATAATGATAATCACAACAAAACATGACAGCATTGCTCAAGTCATTGAGGCTAACGATTTTACAGATAACTCAATTATCCTGGACAGATTATACTTAAGAAGGGCGAGGCATTCTTCAATAGGAAATATAAGTTTATGATAAAACCACCAACCAAAATATTATTAAATTATACCAGGCAAAATATCATCAACATAAACATCAACAAGAACTGTGAATTTTAATAGCAAGATAAGAAATAACACAAACATTACGTTGGTAAATATTTAAGCAAAAATCCTCTTTTTAGGCTAATCCACATTATTGAATATCATAGAGATATAGAGGTAGGGTTATGCACAGGACCTGGAAAAAATACGAAGTAGGGCGGTCACCCATTAAGCACCAAATATTACCTTTCTCTCAACTTTACTTGGTCGCTTATGATGCTTGTATTTTTATCATAAACGTCAAATCAATGAGCTGTGCATTCATCGCACGTAAGGGGGTTAGGGCAAATGCACTTTATCACGACCAAGAAAATATTATGAATACGAAAATATAGGTCACCAGTATACGTTAGTAGTACACATGCAGGCTGGAATGCTATTATGAAATTATGAGAACGAAGTACTGAGAAAAAAGGAGGTATGAGGGGAACCTGATTTCATGATATCACATTGAGCTGTCGACTCGTGTCTCATTAAAAATAACTGATGTGCTATGACAGAATGAATTGACGTGGAAAAAACAACATTACGAGTAAATTAAAATTATGCTAATGATTTATGTTGTGTGTGCCTATATTAGTAATTTACTCCTTATACAACTTTTGGCGTTACATATTGCAAGGTAGAGCTCGTTTGCCAAGACAAAATACAGATTTTATGACTATTAATGTTTTTTTAAGTGAAGAATTTTTGTTTTATTAGACTATCTGTATTTGCAATCTAGTCTTTCATGACAGATATTTTATGAAATGCTTCTGTGAAGCCAAGATCTTTTTCAAGGAAGTTCAAGAAAAAACCACGGGAAGACTTCAGTATTTTGTTTCAGTTATCGAATTTGATACGAATGTGATTTCCACTTTTATCCAGTGTGATAACACGTTTGGCTTTAACTTAAATCTTTTCTTCACTTTCTCATTTCCTCTCTAATCTTTACCCCCTATCCGTCTTTCTCTCTCTCTCTCTCTCTCTCTCTCAATCTCTCTCTTTCTCTCTCTGTCTCTCTCTCTCTGTCTCTCTCTCCCTCTACAGCCAAGCCCAAGCGACCTCCTTTCTTCCTGCAGAAGTTGTCTGATTGCGAGGTTCACGAGGCTGGGGCCAATGGGCGTCTTCAATGTAAGCTGGAAGGAGCCCCCGCCCCCGAGACCAGCTGGTTGAAGGAAGGCAAGCCACTAGAGGAGAGTGACCGGGTGCACTTTATTCAGAGTGCTAACGGTATCCATGCAATCATCATTGATGACGTCACAGAAGATGATGATTCTATCTACACGTGTATCGCCAAGAACAAGCACGGTCAGGTATCCAGCTCTGCTGAGCTTATTGTCGGTGAGTTTTACAAGGCGATGCAATCGTTAAAAGACACAATTTAAACTCAGAGTTTGTTAAGGACCCCTCTAATGAAGAAAAAAAAGAATATTTCATCTAAATACTACACAATTATATCATTAAATCATTAATCCAGATTTGTCAATCATATTTGGTGACTTTTTACAAGGTGACGTCACAGTTCGGTTATAAGGAGGGAGTCACCATGAAATTCATTTTATTTAAATAGTTTGAGTCCTGTAGGCTGCCTTTGTGTAAACGTCTCATTGTAGGTTTTTACTGAAGTGGTTTGTGAACTATCTATTTCTAAAATATATTTTAATGAGTTACTCCCAAAATTTAAATCAAATTGCATTGCAGTACTTCATGCGTTACGATTTCTTTCTAACATTTTCCCATTTCCCCCTTTTTCGCGTTTAGAAATCGACCTTCCATCCAAGAGTGAAGTAGACAGTATTATAAACACATCTCTACATATAGAAGAGGATGACATACAACCCAGGTATGTAGTAATGTACTCACATTAAACTGTAGAAATGTGACATGTAACATATCTTCGGTTATTAGACTACTTGCTATCCCATGCAAAGATGACGAGAGCAGTATTATGGTAATCGACAGTTTCGTGGGATAGATGCAGACGAAAATTGCATTTGCAGTTTAGGGAAATGTTAGAAGTACTGTTTAATTCATTGAAATTACTGTAGGCCTATATCAAATTCGGTAAAATGTCCTCCACGTTGCAGATATATTTCCTCAAATTGAGCTGATCGTCTTGGCATAGAAATTATGATCTGTCTTGTAAAGATATTTAATCAGGGCCAAGATGCTTGCAATGCAGCTTGGCATAAATGGATTTTAATAACATAGAGACGTTTATTAACCATTAACACGATGACTATTTTAACTTTCCCCATTCTACAGCTCCGTGACCGAAACCCCACCCGTTGCTGCCTCCTCTCCTGCTGTCCCTGATCCGACCGTATCCGCCCCTCAATTCCTGGCCAGACCGAGCTCTGTAACAGCAGACCAAGCTAAATCCGCACGATTCAGCTGCTCAGTTTCGGGATTTCCCCTTCCCGTAGTCACGTGGGCCAAGGATGAGAAAATCCTGCGGGATGAAGGAAGATTTGAGATCTATGATGAGGGTCAAGAGTTCATCATGGAGGTCTTTGAGCTAGAGCCAGAGGATGAAGGATTGTATACGGTCACTGCTGAAAATCCGGCTGGCAAAGCTGCTACTGGTGCACAGCTTACCATCAATAGTAGGTTTAACAGTTTCATGTTTCCTGATTTTAGATTCAGTTGTCATTATGCATCTGATATATAGGCACACACAGTCTACACTATGAGCTAAACATTCACATTTTATTATTGCAGTAAGTTGGGTGCAGTATTTCATCAAACTTCATTTCCAGAATGAAAATTAGCAGTAATTGGTAAATCCAAAGAAAATAAAATGACTTAGGCATACTTGTTTACATGTCAACTTGAATGCGATAAGCTTTATCTTTTACAAATTATATTGAATCAAGAAATAGGAAATTAATTTTGTAAAATGACACGATTTCTTTTTTAATTTCTCAGGAACAAGGCTAGTTGAGCAGCCTCCTCCTCCAGCCCCTTACACGAACTCCTTGTCTTATTCCGATGTTCGTCATGACGAGGCAGCGTCATTAGAAGACGTTCCATCTCTCAAATCAGAACAACTCATTCCTGAACCGATCAGCGCCAACCTGACAGCCTTCCAACCCCCGTCTAGGATCCCACCAGAGTTCCTAGCTCTCCCAACCCAACGGACAATCACTGAACCCAACTCGGCAAAGTTCAACTGCCGTGTGGTGGGCGACCCGAAACCGACTGTGACTTGGAGTCGCAATGGTGTCGTTCTCAGTGATTCAGGGAGATATGAGCTCTATGAGGAGAAGGATGAGTTCGTCCTCGAGATCTTCGATACGACCACTGACGATTCGGGGCTGTATGTCTGCACGGCAACAAATCTAGCGGGACAGAAGGCCGCTGAAACGATGCTGACCGTAGAGAGTAAGTTCCTCAAGAAAGCACAAAACGTTCTTCAGACGTTAAAGAAAGTATGTAAACTTTATAAACGTGTTTACGTTCATAACACGTTCTTTGCGAACGTCAGGAGTTTATAATGTTTGATTTGTTGCCATCAAATTAGGTGTGAGAATGTTAATTTTGTATTACTTTTATTATCACCACTCTCTTAAATTGTCACGTCGGATATGGTTATATTGATTCTGACATATCTGATTTCGATTGTGAGGAGGATGTGAAGAACATAATTAAAGATAATAGACGGAAAATGCCAATAATTCATGAATAATACTTCTTTGAATGGAGTGGAAGATGAATAGTTGATTGAGGCATCGATGCATTAAGTGATGCTATTCTTATTTTTCAATTTCATGTCAGGTTCTGCTCCTAAAGGTACGATACCAGAATTCCTCGAAAAGATGAGCGGTACCGCTGTGAGAGACGCCGACAAAGCAAAGTTCACTTGCAAGCTGCGAGGTATACCGCCACCTAGCGTTCATTGGTATTATCGCAACCAGGAGATTGTCGGGAGCGATGAGGTGTATGAACTCTATCACGAAGGCGAGATCGCATCTCTATGTCTACCCGAAGTCCTCCCTGAGGATGAAGGAGAGTACTCGTGTACGATCAAGAATGATATGGGAGAAACATCATGCAGTGCCTTCCTCAAAGTTCAAGGTATGAACTGTATATCGCGTGGACTTTTTACAAATTAGAACAAAGATGAAATATTCGTGTAAAACTATTGGGTTTTTACCCAAAGGTGGATAATCAAGGTGATCATTTTCTTTGTCTCTATATCTTGCAAAGAAACGAATAGCATTTAAAGTCGCATCTCTAATGCTTAGAGATATAAAGATTATCAACACCAAGTCGATTTGCAGCCGATCGAAACAGTCGCAACTTTGTTTAATATGAAACAGGGACCTAATAAACAAAATTAAGTTTACAAGTTCATGGCTTATCGTGTTGATATGTCTTCAGTCGTGTCAGTTTTTGTTTATATGTATAACTTGTTTCATGTGATCCTCTTCTTCAGTCGCATCCCCCAAATCAACTATGCCAGAATTCCTCCAGAAGCTCAAAGACATCCAAGCCATTGACGGTAGCCCCTTGTCTCTGCCCGTCAGAATCAAAGGTAAGTATTTGGGTTATTCATCAGGGTTTTTTCAGGAACACAATCGCAATTTTGTTTGAGAAATCAACTTAAGGGCAATTTAACACCCTATTGTATATCCTACAGAACCATTGCGTAATAAATCAATAGGTAAAGCCATCTATTGATGTTAACAGCTACAAATATGAAGACAATACTACTGTTTTTTGTGTGTGTGGTTCTACCACATGGGCCCCGTTTTAGAAAGAGTTGCGATTGATCCAAACAAATCGCAAGTCCTCCAATCAATCGCAAGTTTGCAGTCTCCTATATGTACATAGTTGCGATTGATATCAACTCTTTATAAGCATAGGCCCTAGTTTCAGCATCAGTAAGATTACAATGCGGTGTAGTGCAAAAGCTCACGAACATTGCAAAAAGAATGACATGTCGAAATAAAAATACTTATGATTCTATATGCTTTTATAATCAGGTTCACCGGCACCAGACGTCCAATGGTTCTTCAACAAAGAGCAAATAAAAGAAGACAATGATTTCAAGTTTGTTGTTGATGGCGATAGATTATCATTGGTAATCGCTGAGGTATATCCAGACGATGCAGGCATCTATACGTGTAAGATCTTCAATTCGGCAGGTTCGGCTGAGTGTGCCTGTAAGGTGTTCGTACAAGGTACGTGATACAGTTTAACGATTCAATTCATATAGGAGGATAAGATTGTAGAGCCATCTTAAGGTATGCGCTTACTTTGTAGCGGAAACACAACTGGTAAACTTAAAACAGTAAGCAGTGCTCATAACGATGTTTTATTATTTGAGGAAAATTATCTCTCGCACAGCTCGTTACTCATTTGTTAAGAAGTCACTCTTCTCTAAAACTCAGTAAATACCATACATTTGTTTAATGATTATTAGGAATTTTTATGATGTGCTGAAGCCGTTTGCAAACGATGAATATAACTTTGCAAATAGAAATGATCCTATACTTTGTCTTACTATGTCAACAAAATGTCGTTTTTTTTCTTCAACCAGTCAATACATAATCAGCATTTATTTGTCTGGACAAGCCCCTTAGAACCACATCATGTACCTTGTTAGCTTTATTTTTTTTTAAACGCGATTATTAAATAGTTCCCGGTGTCAGGTTATTCTTTTGCTTCAGATAAGTCAATAATTATAATTTCAATGTTTTTATCAAGATTGCGGCATTTATATTGTCTTAATGTCTATTGATTCTATATAGCGAGTGACATCGAAGGTTACCCACCAAAGTTTGTTCAGAAACCTCGTTCCATCCACATCGATGAAGGAAGCAGTGTTACCCTCTCATGCAAGATCGACGGAGAACCTCTTCCCACCGTCACATGGATCAAAGATGGCCGACCTATCGAAGCAGGCCGAAGATTTAAGATGGAGTCTTCGGGTATCTCCGGCACGACTCGGTCGCTGAATATCCCGACCGTTCTGGCTACCGATGCGGGTAGCTATACATGTGTTCTACACAACCAGTCTGGTGGAGATCAGTGCAGTGTGAACGTGGTTGTGAAACCACTGGAAGAGGAACAGACGGATTTCAGGTCCCTTCTCAAATCAAGGTAGCTACAAGCAATAAAATGACGAGAATTCTTCAACGTGTTGAAAGCAGTAGAATACTTTTGCAAGTCCCTAAGACTTATAAATCATCCCTACATATTTTTCAATTCAATCACCGATTCCAATACTTTTTACCTAGCTTATTAAATCATTTAACGAAAAAGATGAGTTTCGTGCAATTAAATGTGAAACTTGATCACGTAGCACAAAAGCCTAGTCTATTCTCGTTTCTCGTGGTCGTTTGGCATGACACTATAAAAATTAATGTTATATTGACCAATGATACTATCCTTATATCGCTTTAGACGATGTCCAAAAGTCGTCGTTCTAAAGTGGTCGTAATTTCAAAGCAGTGTTTACATCGTTGACGTCATATGAAGACAGTGATGGGTTCATGACATATTCGATCACTACGGTTTAAGTTTGAATACTGAAGGAGAAAAAGAATGAACATGCAAATCAGTTTAAGATATAGTTTCTGATAGTAATGTCTTTGATTTTCATTCATACCTTGTAGACCTCGCCTCCAGAACATTTCCAACTCGCCCAACAACGTCTCGAGCGACAAGAGCGATGCTGAGCAGGTTGACTTCCGCCACGTGTTGACCCGTCACGTGAATACAAGGAAGCGACCTTCATTCATCAAACCCCTGACCGATATCGAGGTCGTGGAGGGCGAGTCGGTGACCTTCGAATGCCACGTGGATGGTATCCCGGAGCCGATCATCATCTGGACGGCGAATAAAAAGGAGATCAAAGAATCGAAATACTTCCAGATGAGCTATAAAGGTAAGAACATCAAACATTCCCCCACGATATTCTGTCAAGATCAATGCCATGGTGGTCCAGCGATGGCGGGGATGCATATAATGCAAGTAGAGAGGTGACTAGATGCCATCAGCTATAATATGCGAGGACTCGTAATAAATGGAACCCAATCGTGAAGCCGGGTCGTGAAGACTTTGAAATATCAACATTTAATTATAATTTTAATAGTTAGCTATCACTAGTGAAATATTAGAACCCAACAATGACTTCCTCCTTTATCCAAAAATTTGTTACCGTAAATAGGGTAATGAAAGTTCCCTTTATTCACCTGAAACCTTTACCATCATGTTATCTGATGTCAAACCAATATTAGCGCCCTCTATATCTGTTCTGATATGAAATGGAATAAAAATCATGACCACGTCGAAAATAGTGATGCACATATTAACTCAATGCTGAAGAGAGAGGAATACTAACAATTATTTTTCCCTTATTTGATTTGATAGTTGAGGTTGTTGGATTATTGAGGATGATGTTGTCTGACATCGGTGGTGGAAATAACATTTGGGTAGAAGAAGAAGAAGAGCAATTTTTTTCGGACTAACTGTTCATAGTGTTTTGTCCATAAAAAGGTCCCGACGTTGTACCCAAGGGTGCTTTAAAACTCTGAACATAAAATAGTATATCGATGAAAATCCTGGACTATTGGCCCTTCTCTCTTTTTTTAAAAATATCTCTACTTGAATTAGAATCTGAATATTTCAATCACAATATGACATTAACTACTATGATTGTAAGGGCAGCTGAGCATACCAGCTGAATCATTATTATGATCTGACACAGACCGAATTGACATTAAAGGTATAAACCAGTTTTGGAAACACCCCCCTCTCAAAAAATGAAATGGAAGCTCTTATTACCAATCATTTGAAAGAATATGTTTTGACTAATACGTGATGATACAAATTCTGCCGGAAAACCGCCTACTTATTGATATATTTGGTAAATTATCATATCGATCCGACCTGGATAGATATCGCGAATGCACTTCAACACTGAACATTTGGGCATATATTTCTGCTTTTTGCGAATTTAGGTTGAAGTCTTGCCATCTAAACCTCTGAAGGCAATAAAAGGGGCAATATTTAAACAATATTGAATGGATATTTTGCACCCTTGAACTGCAATTTTACCACTACATGTCTTCACCTTTATCTTGTCACTAGTTTATTGAAGTTATTGAAAATTGTCCGAGGGGTGGATTTCATGGAAAATGAAATCCCAGCTAATTCTCTAGATATCAACTGTGATCGGAATGTTGGTGTGACTATTCACACGCTCACACGGCTAGGCAAGCTATAAGCATTACCATATTAATTGTATTACAATGCCGTGTGTGTGTGTATGTGTGTGTGACCCCAATTATGATGAAACTGTGGGTTACCACTAGATTAGTTCGTACATGGCGCAATTTGCGAAAGCCCGCTACTTTACTGAATTTTAAAATGCGCTGGAATCTACTAGCATGCACAGATTGAACTCACATGACCATTGGTTTTGCAGTGGTGTTTTAGCGAGTAAATCTACGCCTGATATGAAAGAACCCATTTGAAGGGTGTGTGATACCTGGTACACGAAATAGGACTAGCAGGTTGGGATCCCCGCTGGGGTGTGATTTCTCCCCCCTCGGGGAGGTAGAGGGGTGTAGTCATGTGTGAAGCTAACACGATGTCTTTATTGGATCGCAGTCAGGGGATGATTAGTCGCGCTTCAAGGCTGCTTGTTATGACAAGCCGGCGTGCAAAACCAAACGTATTTAATTTCAAGTTCTCTTCTGGATAATAGCCTACTATTAGAATGTCCTAATCAAAGTTGCATACAAAAATAATGTGACATGATCGCAATTGCATAGAAGCAGCGAATCTTATTTATTATCTTCATGACTTTTTCTTCTTTAATTTAAGTGATTGCGTTCATGAAACATTCGATTATAGAATTGTTCAATGAATTGGATTGTTTAATTGCTTTGCCAAACATATAAATTGAATTTACTTAAGATATTTGTAAGACTTACTTCAAATACAGTCTCTCCCTCTTTCTCTTTCTTAAAGCAATTTCAATATCAGAACTCAAGATTAATTATGTCAGAATCGATGGAATGTATGTAGAGTAATTACAGGGATATGGACCGCCTTTGAAAAAGACTATGCGCGAAATGGTGTACGATGTTAAGTCTTGTGTATTAATAGGATTCTAAATTCATATATAGTCCAGCTCCGGGGCGGATTATAGAGATGAATTCTCGTTTATTAAAAGGGTAAATCTACATGTGTAATACGAGAGGATTATTCAGTCTGAAACTTTCATTGCCTGTTTTCATTTTGCGGCGGTGGTGCTTGGAGACATAGATGTTCTTGTAAGTTAAACTGGTATATGTTAGGATATTTTATTGAGAGTAAGATACATGCGAAGCGGTAAATTTTGCTTATTTGAATTAATGTGATTTTATTTATTCTTAGCAAACAAACCGTTGTTAACAGATAAAGTAGTTTACAGATAAATCACTGTAACTCGTTTATTACGCAAACATAACTTTGATTTTTACTTAGTTTTTCTCTTATGTTTTTTCCTCGCTTTTTTGTTGCTGTTGTTATTGTGTTGGGGCAGCCAGTACAAAAAAAATTATAGCTATTTCAGCTTTATCTTATTCGTTTTGTTTGAAAGTTTAGTGAAGAATGAACGTTGTATGAATGTCTTTCAATGTTATTTATTAACAATCATGATCTCAAACTGTGAACTTTAAAGATCGTTTTAACGTTGTCTAAATTTTCTCTGATATTACACAATATGAATAAACAAATCTAAATCTGAATAGTAATTTCCTGTAAGGTGTATTCTTGACATGTATATATCTTTCTGCAAAAGGGAGAAAACGTGAATATTTTCAAAATTGAATTCCGTTAAATTACCATTTTGTTTGTGATGGTTTTCTTTCAGATACGGTAGCTAAGCTCCTGATCGCCGAAGCTTTCGCAGAAGATGAAGGTGACTATGCCTGTACTGCAACCAATGGTGTAGGATCAGTTACTTGTGCTGCTGAGCTGACCGTACAAGGTATCACCTCATTCATATTCTTAGCGTTATAGTGTTATATCAATGTTACTATGTTGAGATTATGTGTTAGTTGTATTTCAGTCTGTTTTTCCTTGCGCTATGCTGGTTAGTGCTTATGCTATACAGTAGTTTATAAACTTTTGGTAAGTATTTGGCGTGCCTGGAAGGTTCCTGTTTTATTTTTACATTATTTCCCTTCCTTTTATATCTTGCCTTGAGAATCTCCATCGCTTGTTTTAACCTAATAAAATGCGTAATCAATAAGCCAGTGAGTTTATCATTATGGGTAAAAGAGTTAGAATTAAAATGTAAATTACTCCTGATTTCTCAAGATATTCTCAAGTTGTGTAGGGAAATTAAATCCTACAATTTAAGAAAAGAAAACAAAAACTTATATTTTGTTTTTACGATGATGATATGTTGACGATGATTAACCTTTAAACGAAGGATATGTAATACAGTAGGGAAGGTAGCACGCTGAGCTGAATTAGCGTGAAGTGTAATGAGCTCTACCATCAACAACGGCTAATAGACCGTGACTGACAGCCAGTGCCTCAGGATGACGTTCGAACTTTTATATTAAAATCTGAAAACATAGACGGAGAGACGGTCATTTTGTCAATCAGGAGGACTAGAACTAGATTTATATTGAAGGTAACAGTCGTGGTAGTAGCAGAAGCCTAACTATGACCTGGTAATAGAAGGAGCGAACAATTTTCTTGAAACACTTTTTTAGATTGACATACTAATATTGTTACTTCGTAGTGGTTTTGCCCCGATCATAAAGTTAGATTTTCTTGTAGCTTTATTAAGATTGTTTTAATATTGGTATTGTGCGAGACTTATGTGAATAGCATTGATTGTTGTTTTTTCTCAAATTTTTAGATGAAGAGAACGTGAATGGTCTAAGGTTATCGATTGATGAGCCGGCGATCACTATTCCTCATCCAGACGATCCTCCCCGCAGTGTGATCGAAAGTGATTGCACACACGACAAGGTAGCGTCCACATTCAACGTTAGGCTTGCCAAGGCAGTCAACGGTACACCGCCCTCACCGCCCGCTCCAATACAGCACAACACGAACACAAACAATAACAAGGAGGTGATCTCACCCCCGTCTGAGGTGCAGGAGATATCTCTCTCATCATTCACCAAAACTTCATCGTCCATCGAGGAATCCACGTACTCAGCGTCTACACCTGATACCACAGAAAGTGCGATGGATAATCCCACCGCTGCCACCACTGCTACTGTGAATGGAGACTCGACGGCGGCTCCTGCTACGGATCCACCTTGCTTCCTGGAGCCACTGAAGGATACCGCGGTCCTGGAGGAGAGCTCGGCCATGCTCAAGTGCAAGGTTGTAGGGGAACCGGAACCGGACATATTCTGGTACAAAGATGGAGTAGAACTGAAAGATGACAGGAAATATAAGATGGATTTTCCAGATGATGACGTAGCTATGTTGATTGTGAGAGAGGCAGGGCTTGAAGATGCAGGGGAATATACATGCAAGGCTGTCAACTCATGTGGAACAAAGGAAAGCACAGCAGAGATTATCGTCGAAGGTAAGTTCATGCTTTTCCTTTGACATTTTAACAGAAGTTTGTAAGAGACATGCTATCGTATCCAATAGGTCTGTAATTTTCTTTTTTTTGAATAATTATTTGTAACTGTTTTGGTATGTTTATGTGAATGAGTGTTAGCTTAATTTTCATAGTTCATTAATCGGTCCGTGTTCCCTTGATCTTTTTCTGTTTGAACGGAAGATAGACCTTAAGAGAAACTAAAAAGAAAGAAAGATGTTATTATCATCACAGTAAAGTGTTATATTCTTCTTCGATGCGCATAATGTTCAGTGTCCGATATAACATATTATGTAACTAAACTAGAACCGCAAAGATATTATGTAATACAAAATACATATTGTCACAAGAAAGGGTACACCAAAACTAGCTCAGTGTGTATATAAAACTCGTGACAACATCTTCGATGTTACATACTAGAATGAAAATTGAATTGAAAGATCTAAAAGCATATGTTAAGAAAGTGAATATAAATCTAAGCTTCTGTGTCACAGCATATGCACAATCAATGAACAGAATAAGAACACGTGTATCAATCCCAATGGATAGCGATGTACATGATGATCAGTGCATATGTGTACCTCTTATTACCGCCATGTCTTAGCACCAATATTGACCCAATGATCGTATCGGGAATTACACACCCTGTCTTGTCCAGATCGCAAAATCGATGCACTACTGTCATCCAAGAAGTCTATTGTTTATCTCATTATTCCTCAAGGCTTTTCTATACCCCCTAGATCTACCACAAGTCATGAGGTCTCGATACAAAATGAAAAAGGAGACAATTTTGTTGTTGTTAATCGCTTTCTGTTTAAGATTTGCCTATGAATGAATTATTAAATTGAGGATTGATTTTTATTTTGATCAGGACAACTGATCTATTCCACTTATTCAATGTAGATGCCATCAGTCCATCATTCGTTGCATTTGCAAAAAAATAATCTTGTCCGTAAGATGATAAGGGCAAGAGAATGACAATGATAATGATAAGGGTATATTTTATATAAAATAACTGTGTGTGATTCTCAAATCACAAGTTAGAGAAATCAACGATTGCGACATGTAATAGCTATGTTATAATACCAATTCGTCGAATTGATTTCTAAAGAATGTGTTGTTAAATCGCGTTGATATTGAAAATCGATGGGAATCTTGTACGTTCCGTTGAAAACAAGAATGCATCTTAAAAGTTACAAAGCATTCTTGATGCGATGTGAAGGAGAGAATAAAAGGTTCCGTGTCAGTGCTTAGATAAGTTTACTCAAATCGTTAGTGGTTGGATGTGACGTGACAAACACTGAGCGACCCTGGGATAGCGCGTAGGGTCTGTGTTAGCATGGTTAGAGAGGGAGAAAGATGGTAACACCGCATTATCCTCTATTTGAGTCGCGAGAACTTCCTAGAAAATACCAAAGACGTATCACAAATAAACATGATTACATGTCTGAATATCTTTCGAAAGCAAGCACATTTTTTAGTTAGAGAAAGAAAACGCCAAGTGACATCGAAACTTGACTTGTATCGCGGAGTTACAATGAATTCTTCGCCATCGCTTACCTATTCTCTGTCTCTTTGGCTCTGCCCCCCCCCCCTTCTCTCTCTCTCTCTCTCTCTCTCTATTTTTTCTTTTGCCTTATCTCCTATTTTGTATTTACGTGAGGATTCATGAGAACGTATCAGAATGAAATATTATTTTTCACGGTTTCTTAAAATGCTTTTTCGTTTGGACGTTTTCGTTTGGAAGTTCTGTATTTACTGTAATGTCTTGCGCTCTTTCAGTCATGTCCGACGATATAATCTTGCTTTAAATTTACTCTAAGCAATATCTTTTATTTTACAACTCTTTTCTCATTAGCCGGTTAATGGTATAAAACCCTAAGTTGTAGTTTGTACGTTGTGAATAGAGTCTTGCATGTAGACATGATGACACTAAACGTCGATTATCGCGGTGTAATCGTGGATGCAAACATGTAAACACTAGTCGATTGTTAGAGTGCTTTGGTACACAACGCGTGGAGGGATTTATTGTCTTTCTTTCTTAAAGGTAGTGAAGAGTTCAGACAAGGCCTTTGAAACAAATCATACGCGAATCGTGTACATGTAGGATTCAAACTTCTGACAGATAGTTGTTTACTTGTACAGAATCTTTAAAATAAGTTATGAATGGTTCTGTGGTGATTGTATTGTGGAAGTTAACAACAATTGTTGTTTCCGTATTTCCATATGCTTGAGATATTTCCTCTCTGTTTCAGTATGTCCTCCCCCTCCCCCAACCTCCTTTTCTTTCTCTCTTTCTCTCTCTCTCTCTCTCTCTCTCTCACTCTCTTTCTCTGTTTTGTTTTGTCCGCCTTTGCTTTTTTAAATTATTTAAAAAATTATATCTCTATTACTCTCTCTCTCTCTCTCTACAACACACTCTTCCATCTATCCAACCACTTCTAATCTCTATCTTTACCGCCTTCTTTATGTAAAACTGATTCAATGTCTATCTCCTTATTTCAAAAACTTCTTAGTAATTTTCTGTATCGTGATAATACATGATGTCGAATAAATTGTGTTTTCTCAATCCATGAAATCGATCTATATAATTATGTCCATACGACCGCGTCTTTTCCTCGCCGTTATTTTATGATAAATGATCTCCGGCGTAATATTGTTTTTATGAATGGGAAAATCGATTGTTGTCGGATGAGGGAATGAGGTAAAAGTCGGTTGCCCCGAGGTATTTCCTTTTCTAAGTGCTCTGAATTTACACTGACCGGCTTGCTTTATGGCCAAACGTTGAATAACGGCGTCATGACTCTATGTATTAATGTACCTCGACATGTTTATGAATTAGGATTATTGCTATACTCCTAACCCCAGGTATAATAGTTCATGTTTGAAGAAGAAAAAAATGTAAAGAACATTCCGTCTTACTTTTGTAGGTGACAGTTTATAGAGACCATGTCAATATTAAAACTTTGCAACAACAAATAAGAAAGAGAACCGTTCCATTGTGAGATATATTTGATCATGCTCATTAATTTAGTCCAAATGGAATGTGTCCAAACGAAGACTTCGCAGATATTATCAAGACCTTTTCTACAGTCTTATCTTAAATAATCATGTTTCAAATTTGACTTATTAATAAAGAAATGCGATTATATTTGGCGTAGTGTAGTGGCCTATGAAAGTAGCTGATGAATGCAATCATTTATTTCCAGCAACCCCTCGCAATGCATATACATTTTCATCGAAGCATATGCACACATTATGGAACGAATGACGAATGACAGTTCAGTCATTGTTTCAATTGCCTGTTACTTTAATAACTAATCAAAATATCATTGTTTATAAACAAAATAATTGGCTCTACAATCTTTGTGATTGTTGAAAAAAAGATTTCTATATGTTTAATCAATATTTGTTTAAAGTTCAACCTATTATCCGATTTGGTAATCAAAGATTGTATGTTTATCTTCAATTATACCGTGTATAGGGACAGGCGGAAAAGCGGAAATGAGAGAGAATATAACTTAAACAGATAATCCAGTAATTTATAGAAAGTGTAAAACTGTAAATAATATCCGTTGCCCATGATACAGCATTATGTAAGCAATTGGCTCCTGCTTCAGTAATTTAACGCAATATTTTCACTGTTCAATATGCATTTATTTGCTGTACACTCTTATAATTATGTCGCGTCAAGAAAGGCATAATACAGTCGATGACGTAGTCCTACGTCATTAAAATGGCGCCCATTTGCAACGGGCGTAGTTCATAAGTAGTATCTAGCCATGTATAGTGTTAGAATTAATGTAGTGTATAATTGCCCTACTCTAGATATGTTTTAACAGATCACATTTTCAAATCCTCTTTACACTTTTGTTCTCCTCCCAGCTCCTGCCCGAATCAAGGATGCGCCGAAGACCCTGCAGGTCATGGCAGGTCATGACCTTTCAGTGACCTGTAACTTCGTAGCCATCCCCGAGCCCGATGTGGTGGTATGGAGAAAGAATCGGAAGACGGTCCAGGAAAGCGACCGTGTTAAGATTGAGGAGACTGATACGAGTACGACGTTGACAGTCACTAAGGCGACGCATGATGACAGTGGTCGATACACTCTGCAGGTAGAAAACGACCTCGGGTCCGATGACACCGCTATCTATGTCAGTGTATTAGGTAAGACACGAATTCCATCTCTGAAGAAAAATCTGCATTTTTTTGTATATGACTTAATTTTTTATATTTCCTCCCGTCCTTATAAGGAAAGTGATGGCGAGCCTTGTGCGATATCATATTGATCGAGGGAGGGGGTGGGAGTTAAAGCAGATGAAATGTCATCCGTAATGTTTATATTGCTAAGCACTAAGAATAAGAATAATAATAATCAAGATGTGATATCCATATCTAATATATGACATATCTGAAATGTACCTTTTTAACAATATCAAACCTAACAATGATTTCTTAGGCGATAAAAACCGCCGGTTCATAGACTGCAATTTATTTAAAAGTAGTCGTAATTTCACATGTATGACCTAAAAAAACCAGGCTAGAATTGTTATTTTATCGAAACATTAATGTCATGATATTTGTCATCACAGACAAACCCGACCCTCCTGTCGGCACGCCCATCGCATCCAATATCAGTCGACAGTCATTGACGCTTTCATGGACGGGATCGAGTTATGATGGTGGTAGCAGGATCACTGGATACGTGGTCGAGATGCGGACTGTCGATGACGAGGCATGGACAAAGGCAGACGTCGTGTCACACACATCACACACCATCGACAACCTCAAACCTGAAACGAAGTATCTCTTCCGGGTCAGTTCGGAGAATGAACACGGGATCAGCAAGCCAGGTCAAGAGAGTGACCCCATACTGACCGTAGTCGAGGAAAAGAAGAAGGTGGATATGAGGAAGCCAGTGACAGAGAGTAAGGAATATGATCATAATTCAAATTTTCGTATGGTAGATCATTTTACTATGATGTTGCTCAAAATGTTATTGCCACTGTCTACTGATATAGTATAAATTTTTCAAAAAAACTAGGGCCTAATATTTCAAATATAGAAAGACAGGGAATTGAAATCGGGTTGAAGGCACAACAAATATAGTCGATATAATGTCGGATGATGATGATGATATTGTTGATGTTATTTTGTTGTCGTTTCTGGTATTGTTGATGTTGTTTTTTATGTTAATGTGGAGATATCCATCCAAAGGGAGGTTTCCATCTTTGCTCTCTTTTTCTCTCTTTGGATGAGTGAATAAGTATTGATGCATTTCATTCTTTATTCCCTCCCGATCCATGTTTAGATGATGCAGAAGAAGTCGAGTTCCGTCACGTGACCATCAAACCAGATAAAGACTTTTCAGACAAGTACCAGATCAAAGAGGTCTTGGGAAAGTAAGTATACTTGTATGCCTTAGTTGGTTTATTATTGTCATTCCTTTCGTCATAAACTAATCCATAGAATGACCTGTTGTAGTGCATTGTCATATTGGCTAGTTGTATACCGTTTTATGTTAAAAGGGAACAGCCATGACAAATGTGCAGACATATTGTAAAGGAAGAACAGGCGTAATTTTGCAGACAATTATGATTATCAAATATGTTGATGGAATGCTATCTGTTCAGAAGAAATATCCTACTTTTACCATTAAGTTCTGGAGTCATTTGCATTTCCTGCCTTCATCCCATATAGCTAGTTCTGAGGAATAAAGCTTACTCATTCTCTGAATATTTTTGAACTGCAAACAATCAAATAATAAATCACACAATATTACCATGTTGTACCGTACGATAAACTGTCTACAATTAAATGAAAGTCTGACTAGAGCAATATAACCCAGTCGATATCGTGAAATCTTTGATATGAAGTGCGAAATCGATTAACCAAATGAAAAACTTTCCATCCAGTTCTTTTGTGTTCATTTACGTTTTCACTAACCTATCTTGTGCAATCTCTCTGATTCCCCCCCCCCCCCCCAAACAGAGGGCGTTTCGGAACTGTCCATAAATGCATCGAGAAGGTGACCGGCAAGGCGTACGCAGCTAAGATGATCAAAACCATTAAGAGCACAGATAAAGAATCAGTCAAGAATGAGATCGAAATCATGAACAAGCTTCATCATGCTAAACTTCTACAATGCCTGGATGCTTTTGAGTCACCTAAACAGATGATTATGGTCCTAGAGATGTAAGTCATTCAAGGATTTAAGAGGAATCGTATTGAGGATAACTCATAAAAATAACCGTTTTTATAAAAAATTTGGGCAATTGTCATTACAAATAAGCAGACTAGAATGCCGAATGAATAAAAGTAGTAAGCTCAAGATCAAATAGCTTATAGGGACATTTGTTTGTGAAGATAAATCGGTCTCTAAAACTGCCATTTAATATAGATCATTATAGAGGATGGGTGAATGATTTGAAAATTGACCGTCAATGCGCTCAATAATTTAAATATTAACACAGAAGTTTATATGAAAGTTCAATGAATCGAAACATTTGTATTTTAGTAAGTGTGCTAGAAAACGCCAATATCGCCTAAATTTGTAGATGCGATTTCCCAAAAAATATATCCATGTAAGTTTGATGCTTTGTGTCTTAGTCTTGTAATTCTTTGAAGAACGTAGTGATCTTCATTACATGTTTGTACTTCTTTTTTAATTTCATAACTTAGTGTGAACGGCGGTGAGCTCTTCGAAAGGGTGATCGATGACGACTTTGGGTTGACGGAGAGTGACGTCATTGAGTTCATGAGACAGATATGCGCTGGTGTACATCACATGCATTCAACAAACATCCTGCATCTTGACCTGAAACCAGAAAACATCCTGTGTATAGACAAAACGGGTAGCCGGATCAAACTGATTGACTTTGGTCTAGCAAGGGACTTCAACCCAGCTCAAAGCACAAAGGTCATGTTCGGTACACCAGAGTTCGTCGCCCCGGAAGTAATCAACTACGATGTCATAGGTTTCACTACCGATATGTGGAGTGTTGGTGTCATTTGCTATATCTTGTAAGTAATATGAGATGCAGTATATCAATGGTCATTTTCTTGATATAAAAATATATTAAAAACCTCTTGTGGTAAAAAAAAATTTAAATGTATTTTAGAAGGATATGGGTAAAAAAGGTGAGCCTATTTGAAACTTATGGGAGAATTGGAAATAGTTCAGTAGATGGTTGGATGAGGTGAACATTTAGTCCTGGTCTGTTCTTATGCATGCTAAATACATCTAGACTAAAATCTGTCAAACGAATATCAGCTTTTCGAATATGACTGTATCAATCAATTTAAAGTCATTAATATATAATCGCATTCTGTATATTTATATATTTTCATGCTGTATATATTTGCGTTTTAGAAATACCAAAGTTGCAAAAACAACAACCATTGATAAAGTTCATTATTACAATAACCCATTAAGCAAATGGACGTGAATGTTATAAACGAATCACATGGACAAATAAATGGCGAAACTTCACGGGAGTCCGAGAACGCGTCATCCCGCCGACTTTGGGCGGCAAACTGATGGTAATCGGTGACGGGGTCCATGAACAATTTTTTGTTAAAAAAGTAGGGTTATTTTAATAAATCCATTAATTTAATGTCCAAGCTGATGAATTTACTTTTTTTTCCCTCTCTGATGTAGATTGAGTGGATTGTCTCCATTCATGGGTGATAACGATGCAGAGACACTGAATAATGTGACGCTAGCTGAGTGGGACTTTGAAGATGAAGCTTTTGATGCGATCTCTGAAGATGCGAAGACATTCATCGAGGGTCTCTTGATCCAGAAGAAAGAGTGAGTTACACATTGATAAGTATAATTCATGGTGAACATCATCATCATCATCATCATTACGATATAAATTGCTGTTAATATTAGCTAGGGACAGGCTGATTGTGTGCGACTTCGTTAGTCTTTTATTTTATTATCACGGTATTAAACTATCAAAGCCAGGTTTTTGTATCTGACAAACTACAATGAAAAAGAATGTAATATTGTAATATTATATGTCGCTATGTTTCTCCGACAACTTCCCACTGAGTGTCGCTCTTAACGTAGAACAGACGGAAACGCAGTATTATTGCACTGTTGATCTGTGATAAGCGGGTTATTAGAAAGAGTCATCAGGGTTATATGTTTAATAAGAAAGGCTTACCATTTAATTCTTGTAACTAAAGGTGACATTATATACTGTGACTTACTTTGATCAATGATCTAATCGAATTTGATTTCGTGGTTATCTCACAGGGAGAGAATGACAGCGGCTGAGTGCCTCCAACACCATTGGCTTGTCACAGACTCTAAAGAACTCAAATGCAACAAGATTAGTACCGCTAAACTCAAAAACTTCGTGGCAAGACGGCGATGGCAGGTAAGTTTGAATAGGCCATAAACTTCTTTCTTTCTCCCGGCCAGTGTCACTAGATTTAAATTAGATCGCAAGACATTGTTGTAGACTTGTAGTTGTAATGCTGTAGCATCATGTTAAAAGGCAAATAAAAAATTACACCATGTAGACAAGTTAAGGGCAAAGGGACCCTTGTCATAGTGTCATTGTTTACAAGTTATTAGCTTAGAAATTTGTGACACGTCAGAACATGTGCAATATATGGTTCTGCTTAAAATTCTCATTTAGGTCTGTAGGGTTTCAGTATTGTTGTTTGTAATGTGCTGTAGTTCCTATCGCTTTATCGTTTCTTTCTCATGGCCACTTTCTGCTCTTGGAAGTTTTGTTCACCAATTTGTCCTTCGTTTATCATGTGAAATGTAGTCTTGTATATGTTGTATTAGTTTGTTTTTAATGTTAGCTTTTCAAGTAAGTGCCGGTAATGGTGTTTTTATGTGGTCTTGGGTATCTTGCGTGATGGTTGTGGTTGAATGCAAATCTAAACAAAAATCAATCGAAAGTCCAAACTACGCGGCTCAAATTGGTTGCAAATTGTTTTTTATCTTTGGAATTCCGTTTAATCGCATTTTTGTGTGCTACGGTATCCGTTTGTAACTTGGAATGGTTTTGCAAATAAATCAATTATGTTTCATAAGGGAATATAAATGGAGTAACTTAGATAACTTTTATTCACAAACGGAATATCTTATGCACTTGGTTAAACACATGTTTGTTTTTAGGCCAGTTGAACTAAATGTTTTATGTGATGAGTGAAATTTCTACCCCTTGCTTTCCTTGCCCTCTGGTCATTGTTCAAGCAGTCAGATTCAAGTGAATCTAATCAGGAATCAACAAATGAAGACTCGGCTGATGAAATAGTATGTCTGGTATTATGTACCTTGGTTTTGAAGTGATATTAACCCGCGGTTTGGACAATCATATAACGGATTTTGTGTGAAGACTAACTAAATTTCAAGATTCATGTATGCAGTGTCACTAACCCTATATTTATACAATTTTATTCAAAGTTATTCTATCGGGTGAAAGTATTAACAAAATATGCTTATGGTTATTGCTAAAGAAAGAAAAAGTCACCACAGAGGGTAAAGTGATATTCGAAACTTGATTTTCTTGGAGGATGCACATCAGGTCTGTGGTAAAGCATGAACGTGTTTCGAGAGCAAACACTGGCGACAACAACACGAATGAAAAGTGTAGACAGACGAGTTCGTTTCTAAAGGAGATTAACATAACAACTCTTTACAAAATAAGAAAAAAAGAACTTGTAGTGAGTTTAAAAGGGACGAAAAGAAGAAGACTGAAAAAAATTGAAATAAAATCATAAAGGGATGCATTAAAATACGATCGTCGAAAAAGGACAATGTAATAATTATTAAAAGAGATCCGATTTATATTCGTTCTCGAGTCAATTTAATTTTTAAACATTGTACTATTGTCGTTTAAAAATGGTCATAATTATGCGATATAATTTCTTTTTAATCATTATTTGGTGATTTATTTTAATCAATAGTCTACTATTATATCACTAATGGAACATCGGGATATTGTTGATATTGATACTGATAATGTAAACGACTGTAGTATGTTGACTTTAGAGGGAGAGCTAAAATATAAGTCCAAATAACAAAGAACGTTCATGAATTATAGTTTTTGAAGAGTCATGTAGGCAAAATGAAATTAGTTCGTGGGATAATTTAGCATTACAATTTTTTTAATATATCTCCGTAATGCGTAATCTATATGGAATTATCATTCCGTGTTTAATTCGGCCTACACATGCTAAAGCGAGGATTTATTTTTGCTTTTGCTTCAGGAGTGGCTTAATGGATTTTGCATTTTTCAAATTTCATAAAAGTGTGTAGGAATCAACGTGGTTGAATCTACTTTATTAACTAATATGAATGTAACACGAGCATATGATATAAAGCTATTTTATTTTCAATTCTAACTGATATGTTGTACTTTTACTTCGTAACTAACAGAAAACAGCTACAGCAGTGCGAGCTATTGGAAGGATGGCGTCCTTGTCACTATTCGGTAGCAGCAAGAAATCTGGTGAGAATAGCGGAAGCCTCATGCGAAGCCAATCATCGCCCTCATCGTCAAAAGACAAACCACCATCCACCCCGACCACTCCGCCAATCATCACGGAAGCTGATGATAAAGCGACCAAAGATGATGCCGAGAGGAGTGCGATGTCCACATGCGACGACGAGGCCAAACAAGAGGTGGCGGAAACGATTGTTAGTAAGGAACAGGAGAAAGAACATGCAACGATGAACAATAGGGATCATAAGATCACAGAGAGAGATACGAAAGCGAATGAGCGACAAAACGGCGATGATGAGAGCGACGATGACTCGGATAATGACGTTGAGGATGACGTCGATGGTCCAGGTAAGAAGGATTTAAATCAGAACATTCCAGGCGCACCTCATTTCCTCAAAGAAATCATTGACCAGGAAGTCTTCGAAGGCGACAGCGCCCGCTTTGATTGCAAAGTAGCAGGCGACCCAGAACCTGAAATCAAATGGTTGCAAGATGGCGTCGAGATCGAGGAGAGTTCACGGTTTATCTTTGATTGCGACGATGATGGTTCATTCTCCCTCATCATCAGGAGGATCCAGGAAGATGATGAGGGTGAGTATTGTATCAAAGCAACCAACTCGAAAGGGGAAGCTGTCTGCATCGGTGACTTACTCGTCGAAGTCTTTTAAACACTTCTCAAAATTATGGACAAAATCTGCTAATAATGACACAATCAGAAAAGGAGATTGGATTAGACTGTTTTTTACGTTGTAGATAATAATAGATATAAATGTAGATATGTCTCAGATAATCAGTGTTTAGAATTTAAGACTGTACAGATTAATACATAGTTCAATTGTTTTGAATGAAGACTGCTGTAGAAGAAAACTTGGCAATGTGTCCTTATGGAAATGAGTTATGATAATCCCACCTGCAGACGTTGTATAATGGAGATATACCATGAAAGTTTTAATCATCGTGAAGCGAAAGTTAACAAAGTGTCTTATATTAATTTCAGCGATTTCCACAAAAACGGGAGTATCTGTTAGTTACCGAAAGTAGACATGTAGAAGCATTATACTCCCTAATGAATGTTTTAATGTGAATTTTTTGCCAAAAGTTTTCATCATTGCTTAGGTAGGGATGTAAAAAAGAAAAATAATAAAAAAATCGTTGAGAGTAGAATGATTAGAATACCATAATAGACAGGAAATATAATTTCATGAGGAATACAGGTTGAAAAATATATATATTTTTTTTGTTTACGAAATCATATTGTGTGACGCGTTGGAACTGTATTCGGGTAGTATACTTTCCAACATGCCAAATACTTATTAGGATGATGTCTTTAAAGTAGACAATATGCAGCATAAATATATGTGTACTTTTCATAATCAAGAGATATTATCGCAAATGTATTACATTGTTTAGTACAGATGTAAACTGCGTAAGTAGAGATTGTGATAGTGTACTTGCTAATATTTTATATTTTATTTCAAACTAAGTCTATGAATCCACGATACAATGCCTTATCCGTATTGTAAAGAAATATTTATCAGCATTCATCACCCCCTCCCGTCTCTCTCTCTCTCTCTCTCTCTCTCTCTATCTATCCCCCCTCCTCCTCTCTCTCTCGCTCTCTCTCTCTCTCTCTCTCTCTCTCTCTCTCTCTCTTTATCTGTAATCGCGGGGAGAGGGAGTTGCACAATGTTGCGTTTGATGCCTATGCTCAACATAAAAGAAGGTGACGTAAACGACACGAGAAACATTTGACAGGCTGTCTATACTACACTGCCCCTAATCTTCTTTTAGGAGTAGGATGGCATTTTGCTAAGAAACTGCAGTTTAAGTCCTAAATGTCACGAACTTGATTTTAGCACTGAGATATTCCGACATTGACTTTTGTTTTTTATTTTGTGTTTTTATCAGATGACACCTTATTTGATATGTGACATCTTCATTTTAATAATGCTTGTCGTGTGTCTACTATAAGAACTTTGAAGTGTGACGTAACTTGGATATACAGGTACATGTAACAAGAATTTTGCCTCATCACAATTATGGTATTTCATTATATGACATAAGTATGTATTTGTAAACTTATCATTTTATTTGTTGTAAAATTGTTGTAAAATATATGAAATGTGACTGATATAGCCCACTCCAGCATTCTTTGTTTTCATTCCTCATGGTGCATGATGACCGAATCAGTTTTGTCATTCCTATATTGCGACACTTCCATTATGATAATGCGATTCCACTTTTAAAAAATAATTCCATATTAAATAAAAGAGTGTGTGTATATAGTTTATTGTTATTTTGATGAGTATAGAATTTATTTTGCACAAGTTTGTCGGTAATGAAGAATTAACTGTGAGGACGATTTATTTTTGTGTTTATGATGTAATTATTGGGAGCTTGTATGCATGTCATGTCAATACGTAGCATAAGACGATAAAGTCAAATTATTAATTTGAAACAATCATACCCAACAAATATTTGTTACTATTTGTATCGATTTCTATGTTCTTCCATCTTATATAATATTCGCAATGAGTAGTGAGTTCATATTAAAGCTTTACATAACATAAACGATTCATGGCTTACATATTAATATTATCTCTATGTATTCCGGAACTTTATTGTATATTTTGTACATAAATTTCAGAAAAAAACTGTACGCATTGCTAACAAGAGCTAAAATAGAGCAATTAAGACTCGCTTTGTAAACATCAAGTTGTGATAATTGCTTCCTTATATGGTATCGATATTACGAATATACTATGCATGTCGTCACTACTGGCTATTTACGACATTATTGTCATTTTATTCATAATGAATAATCATCATCATCATCATCATAGATATTATGATTTTGTAACCTTTTCTGAAATGTATTAAAGACAGGTTTAAAAAGGAAATGATTTTTTTGAATTGTTTGCGATGTACATTAGATTTATTGATAAAGGCATACGTGTAACTGTAGATGATAAAAGAGAACAACGAATTGTTTGTGTGCGCTCGTGGGTGTGGGTCAACGGGTTTGTGTGAGCGGGTGTGGGTGTGCGTGTGTGTGTTTCTTTCGATACAGTAATAAAAAACCTGCTTTGCAGCTTCAAGCCTTTTTTTCGGCAAGTCCGTATACAAAACAAGACAACATTACAAAAATAACAAATAACAAATTATTTACAAAACTAGATATAAGTTTAATATACACAAATGATTATTAACGAAAACAATTAAGGCAGAGATGACAGAGATAGTATGGAAAATAGAAGAATCAGGCAAACAGGGCTCACGAACAAAAAGTATCATGATCAAATATCGGCAACTTTTTTGAAAACTTCATGGGAAGTATTTATGTTAGATGCATTTGATAAAAGCCGGTAGTTTGGTTTGCGTTGTGTGTGCGTGAGCGTGTGTGTATGTGTGTGTATGCCAGTGTCAATAACTATATAAACTTAAAACAATAACATACACGATTGTTAAGTTGCGTTACTTCATTCAAGTAGTGCTAACTGACTAAATTTAAGGGAGTAGATAGGTATCATGAAGATAAAAAGAAACAATTAAAAAAAAAAAAAATTCTAAAGGAGGCCTGTTAATTCTCCTCACAAAAGACGCAGACCTACTAGTATTTCTTTTATGACTGAATGTAAAGCCTTTTCTTCTTATATTCACCCCGAGAGATACTATTCACACCAATCGGGATTGATTAGATTTTTAAAATGAAAGCAAGTAGACCACCAATGTTTACATTGATCTTCGTTATATAGTGAAGTGCATGAGTGGTCTACATAATTAATCCATCTCATATTGATTCGACTAGCGATGTAGTTTGACGTGCTTTTCTCATAACAGTTTTTCTATTTGTTGGTAGTTTTACTTACCTCGTAAATTTCACAATTCTATTCCATGATTCCATTACCGTAGACACGCCACTGATTGTAATATTGATATCATATCCACAGTGCTAGATTCACATTATTTCATGCAGCTATGATGAAAAGAACTTGCCATTCCACCCAAATTATCTAGTCCTGCTTTTATTTACAACTCGTTATAATCGAACCGGGAGATCTCGAATAACTGCATACCATGTAGAATCATTAATATGCATTATATGTGACGTACAGTATATTCATGAATATTCATAGCCCATCGATGTAACACCATCTTAAGGCCCGGTCGCGAATTTTTTTTTCCCAAACAGGTTTACCTATGAGAGTAAAATCCTGCCTCCTGATTGGTTCAGAGGTATACGCGTCATGAATATTCACGAGCTGAGTTCACAGCACTGTGGCTGAGCTGCAGTACCTAGTATATGTATTACGCATGCGCGTGGACTTCAGTTTTGCTGGCCATTTAGGTGTACAAAATGTATGTGAGCTAGCTGTGGTGCGAGGGGATTTTTATTGGGGGAAGGGGGGGGGGTCTGTTTGTTTTTGAACATTTCTGGTTATTCTGGTGCTTGGTTTATATAGTTTTACACTGAGGATTTTTTTTCTCAAAGAGTTCACTTACAGTACACACACTAATATTCCAATTTCACACATAGGCTATACATACAAACACTATCTTTCTCTCTCTCTCTCTTTCTCTCTCTCGCTCTCTCTCTCTCTCTCTCTCTCTCTCTCTCTATAAACACACACACCCACCCACCCTCATGTATTTACAAACACATAAGCAACAAATGCACACACTAGCTGTCAAGAATACACAATAGACACACACAAGGGGTATGAATTATCTTATCAGGATGGTCCGACATGAGATGGTTGGATGTGGGTCAAAGCCACTGTGTTGCTCCGAGCATGATATCTTGACAAACATTTAATATTATCACCCGTAACTGAAACCAACACACCATTAATATCACGGTATTAGTCTCTTTTTTGTTCCACCAAGCTAATTTTTGCACCTTGCACAAATGCACTTCTCAACATGAAATATTTCACTAAATTTGTTTTGTTATTTTCACTCAAAATTAATTCAGCCATGCTCACTTTTAATCACTTCACTTATATCTTATTTAACATTGAATACAATGCAGTTGCATGGGTTGTTCTTTTATTTTGTTAACTCGGCAGAGGCCACGGTCATGTTCAAGCATTTACGCTTACGACATGTGGTCTCCTGCTTTTTCCTTTTGTATGAAACTTTTATTTTAACTAGAAACAAATTTTGTCAAACTTACATGTTATTCATTATATTTATTTGTATGTTTCTTTGTATTAATATGAAAAAGTGGAAATAAAACAAAACAAACAAACATATCAGTGGTTCTGGTTCCTTTGTGACAGATGAACCTGGCCAAAGAAAACAAAGGACATAAAGTAATATATACAGGCTCTACACACATGTCAAAGACAAGCTTTTATTATTAATATGCATACCAAGTGCACATTACACTGATTCATCTCTTATTTAAACATGAATATCTGACTAAGTCCTTTTCAATCTTTATATCTTCAAACTTCTTTTTCTCAAGATTATCTTACTTAAATCAGAATCAAAACAATATTTAAAGGACATCCATTTCATTGCATTAATTTGAGCTTTCAACAATAAATACAAACAGCAGGTTCATAACCTTTGACCTACTTTCATGAATTTAAACTTGATATGACATGCACAGGATATGATTTTACATTTTCTGTTATTAAGATACAATCCCCACACACATTTATTTCACTGCCTCTGTCAACTAAATTTGAGACTCCATATAAATTATATTGCATGCATGTGTCACTGCTTTTGAGACTAATTCAGAATACATAATAACATAACCTACTGACACTATATACTGACAATTTCAAAGCATTAAAATAAAAATGGGATGGGCCGATTTACAATTTCACAATAATATTGTGGTACTTACATAAAGACTTGTATGGTTCTTGCAGAAGAAATCGGTATTCTCTTCTTTAGAGCGACCAAAATTGCAGAGAGTTGTACTTGTAGACTCCGCCATAATACTATAGCTCATGTAAAAGTTATAACTTAGAGCCAATCACTGCGCATGCATATCCATGCATGCAGTGTATAGCCTACGTACTATAGCTGCGCTGCATCAACGAACTCAAACTTGGATTTCGATGAGCTGCATGAGCAGCTTCGCCTGGTGTCACGCGCATGCGTAATACTACTAGTATCTTTCAGCTCAGTCATGAATATTCATGATGCGTATACCTCTGAACCAATCAGGAGGCAGGATTATACTCTCGTAGGTAAACCTGTTTGGGAAAAAAAAATTCGCGGCCCGGTCACACAGCCCTCCACGGGCGTATCGCGGCCGAATCACGGCCAAAAATTTCTGCCCGTGAAGCAGACGCTGTTGGACGCTTTGAGGTCGCGATAAAGACGCGATACAGCCGTACTTTACCCGTCGTTACACGCGGTAAGAAATTCACACGCGGTTGGCCGCGCGAAAAAGTTTTGGGCTGCCCAAAAATTTAGACCGCGGGTAATCGCGGGCGGTACACGTGGTACACACGCGGTAAAGACGCGGTACAGACGCGGAACGAACGTGCTAGGACGTGCTACGGCCGCGGTTAAGACGTGGTTACACGCGGAATTGGACGCGAAATTTTAGCGGGTAATCGCGGGTGGAGCACGGTACGTCATAGCACGTTTGTTCCGCGTCTGTACCGCGTTGTTATCACGTGCATTAGCGTGTGTACCGCGTGTAAGCGTGGTAGGCCGCGGTACCGCCGCGCTTCACCCGCGATAAGGACGCGGAACAGTCGCCGGCGTCTGTTCCGCGGGCATACCACGGGTAAACCGCGGGTAAGCCAATTTTGCACATTTTCCACCACGGGCAACCGCGGGCAAAAAAAAATCGCGAAATATTACCCGCGATACAGACGCGAAAGGCTGTGTGACCGGGCCTTTATGTTCGCACCAAGCTTTCGACTGGGCGTTGTGGCGTGCGCCTGTAATCCAGTTACTTGGAAGTCGGGGTTGGTGGATCGTTTGAGAGCGGGAGTCCTGTATGTCTTCGCTCTATGGCGATCGGGCGTCCATGCTAAGCTCGGCATCGATATGGTTGATTGGTCGGAGGACTGGCCAACCAGGTCGTCTAAGGAGGGACGTACTGGCCCAGGGCGGAAACGCAGCAGGCAAAAGTCCTCATGTGGAGCAGTAGTGGGATAGCGCCTGTGAATAGGCGGTGGCTTGCAGCCCGTTCAACACAGTGAGACCCAATCCTTTTCTTTTCTTTTTTTGCTTTAAAAAAAAAGAAAAATAGAAACTTGTTTTCTAACAATTTTTCTTTCTTCAGGATTATGGGGTCGATTTAAATCATATTGATATTCAATTTCTATATAAACCTGTTTTTCAAGGTTATTCAAATTATAGTTAAATGAATTGAAGAAAGAGCAAGAGGGACAGTCTATTCTCTTCAGTTTGAAGTGACTCGGTAAAATTTCCTCAGATTCTGAGACAAAATCCTGGATTCAGCTCATGCTGCAATCGTAATTATAAACATTTAGGTCAGCCAGGAATCCTATGACTTTTACAAGCCAATCGCCTGTCTGATTATCAAGGTATTTATGATTGGAAATCGAAATTTCATTTTTCGTTTTCCTAACGGTTTTTTATAACACTACAGTCTATTGTAAAACATGAGTATAGTAAAAAACCGGTCACTCAAAGATTTTTTTTTGAGGCACCTCATGATCATTTTGAAGCGCAAATTTTTGGGGCTTCAATATTACACCATATCACAGACACTAATAACACGTAGGACCATGCATCTCAGATTTAGCATTGTTAAACGATGCTTTTAAGGTTATTGTGAAAATGAGGAACTAATATTATACAACATGTAGTGCTTGTATCCTAACAAACACCCCAGTCTACATCCTTCCCAAGTCTCTTTCTTCGCTTTATTTTGGACATTTTGAAAAAACAGACCCAT